TACATCAGTGGGAGCTGGAGGCCTTAATTCTAACAATTTGCATCTCATTTACTTCCCTCCGACCGGTCGAGACGGAATGAAAATGAGAAATTGACAGTGAAATTTCTGTGGAAAATTGTTAAAAATTCGTGGACCTGACTCTTTCTGGCTTCTACAATAACTATCAATCATATGCACATATATTTCAACCAAAAATGCAATACATCAGATGTATGCTGAATGTACGTGAGTGCATGTACATGTTCAGTCAAAAATCGAATATGTAACGTAATTGTCTATCTGCACTTTTTTTCGACGAGGGCAGTTTATTTGACAATGTCCACAGTAGTTAGACAAACGATAGTCAAAATGAGGCAGTAACGTCATAAATATCCAACCCGTTGGAATGTGTGCGACGTGGCAATAAGGCCGACGTATAATGTCGGCCAGATTCAGACGCTTCCGGCTTTCCGGTGGTGGCATCGCCGTTGGCGAATCGATAACCCGTGGCCTCGCCCGTGGGCAAAACCCGTAAGAATCTCCAAGGCACACATCACCAACGCTCGTAAAACTTCAAACGATCATCATACTGGGAACTCACTCGTCCAGAAATATCAAGATAAAATACTATCAATATTGATGATAAGTTCTGATGCAATAGCTTCGCATTTTTCAATATCTCCCCGAGGCCTTGGGTGCCAAACAATTTTGTCACCGAGGCCCAACTATTGGCTCGATATGGAGGTGATCGTGACAAGGGTTTTAGGCCGTTTTGCCGCAACGTGTCGTGTCAATAGACACGTCTCATTCGGCCATCAAAAGCCCAGTCTTCCCGTTCTTTCTGCCACTCCATCCACCGGAAACGAGGAGACCAAATTATTCGACTCGCGTCTTTGTGCCGTCTTCGTTCACCAAGATTTTTTCCTTTCGCATTTTTATGTCCTCCTCTTTCGTGCCAACAACCAACACAAAATGGCTGTCTTTGGTGTCAGGCACATCCCACCGCTTTTGCAGTTTCGTAATTCATTGTGCATTTTGACATTCCATTTATAAATCAAACTCGCTCGCTTAATCTTCTTGAATATTCATGTAATTCCAGATATGCCTGAAGAGTCGGATAGAAAATTTCGCGAGTTGCCCAAAATCTTGGCTGAAAATGGAATTTGCAAGGCTCCAGTGGATTTTTCCAGTTTACACAATTGATCATTGTCCACAAATTTCTCGTCAAGTGAGTTCTCATTAAAATCCAGGCTAAGCCCATTTTTCCAACAATCATTAAGAAACAATCGTCAACAACGTCCCGTGGAAAACCCAGGCTGGCCTCCCAGCTGGGTGTATTTTCCTAGCATTAACATTATTGCGAAACAAAAACGACAAACTGCGACAGGGGGATAGGGGGCGCAGCTGGTGTTTGTGTTCATATACCAGTGAGTTTCGCAACAATCCATGGAGATACGTATCCGCGTTGTTGGACGGACGTATCCAACTACCTCCTCCCGCTCGTGGGAGTTCACCTACGTATTTACCCACGCTTCCGACCATCAGAATTCGCTATTCCAGAGATAAAGCCGCAATACCCAGGGCCTACCGTTACCATCTTAATGATCACCCCCATTCAAACAAAAAATTCCCAATACCCAATAGCTCCAATAAAAATTCCGAGCACATTGACCCGCGCAACAACAGAACACCCCATGCATACGTGACTCAGATAACTCAGCCTCCAAACTCTTTTTTTTTTTCACTCATTAGCGTCAATCCTAGCGCTTCTAATTAGTCGTGAAACGTACGCGTCACTTCATCCCAGCGCTCTACTTTTCGTACAGATCGCCTAACTGGACGCGCAGTGGTACTCATTCCCTCCCCCTCAATTCGCCAGCAAGAGCCAAAGGAAAAAAAATTTTTTTTTAATAAAATCATTGTTTACAAAGCGTCAGCCATATGGACCGCACACTGCGACGATTCGGGAAGCCATTACCGGCAAAAACCCCATCATTTCAATTCCCTGGAATTACTCAAACGGGAAAACTATCACATATGTCACTCACTGACATTTTATTACTTCGCCATTTTTTTTACCTCTTTTGAAACAAAAAACTTTAATTGCGCACGACTGGGCAAACCTCATTGCGGGTGGAGCAGAAGGAGCAAAGAAAACCAAAGCGTCAGTCCGAGTCAACAAAAAGTGGGTGGCGATTTGGGTGGGAGACACCTAGTACCCAACGCACACATGCGCAAATACCACCGTCTCTTTGTTTATTTTCATTTCACGTCGGCCCATTTCCTCAGTGCCTCTGAGCTCCCCGAATCGTGAGCCCTTTCTTCGTTAATCGCCCCGGAATGAAGAGAGGATGATAACAATGAATGAAAAAACAGTTGGGTGGAGTAACAAGAGAATTGCCCTCGAAGACCGCGGAAGAGGTGGATGAGGCGAGTTCTCCGTTCTCCAATTCTGATTGTCCCCTTTTTGTCTCTTTTTTATCTCCTCTTTTTAAGTGAAAATAACATCCCAATGAAAAAATTATACTGGGTGGATTTTAATTGTTTGCGTGCCGCGCGATTGAATGTAGAAATTAATGAATGGATTAATTAGTTGGTAACCATCTGCGTCCAGGTTAAAAATTTCATAAATTGCAGTAGATTGGAAGGGCAGGGAAATGATCGCTCAAATTTTCAATATTTTCATAAATTTTCAAAATATTTAAGAAACCGAAAATTTCACCATTGAAGAATTGTTGAAAATTCTAACTTTAATATTCCAATGGTGCACTCCGGCTCTGTCGATAGCGAGTTGAGATCCCTCAATGTAACTTCACACACAACCGTTTAAAGACATTGCGCTCGGGAGCGTTTAATGTACGTGTGAATGCCAACCAACGTGTGTCCATGTGTGGGGTGTGAGTGAGAGAGAGAGAACGGATGAAACAAATAAAAAAAAAGTGTGCAAAGTTGCCCAGAAGGATAGTAGGTCGCTCCACTATGGATAGATATATATGCAATGCAGAAAATAAGACTGAATAGCCCCATCATAATACTCAATGTGCGAAAAGAAATTTTTCCCCTCTCGCTCTCTCTCTCTCGTTTACTTAGTACGTTTGTCTTGCCCTTTCTCCTTATTCTCGGGGATCTTGAAGAAAATAAAGAGGAGAAAAGAATGAATTGCTTTGAATGAAAACTGCGGATGCATTTGCAAATTCTCTCAAGTATTTTTGCGAATTTTTTTTTTATGGCGATAATCGCTGTCGCCCAGTGGGAGGAAGTATTTTTATGGGAGGAAAGATTATTTAGTTTTTTATCTGAGCTGCGTGTCTGGCAATGGCGAGGTCATGCTGCTGGCAGTGCCAAAACTCATGATGAGAAGCCATATGCTTGCACCAATTTCCTCTCATCTTTTCACTTTCTCTCGCCGCTTCCTTTCTTTTTTTACTCTCTATGTATCTCTCTCCGCCTCGTCGGTGGCTACAACTATTTTTTTTTTCTCCTTTTTTGCGGGTGAATGGATGAAAATGAAGGTGGATTTTTATTTCTTTGGCTTTGGAAAGTTTCTATGTCGTTTGAATTCGCGGGCTTTTTAGAGGGCCGAGTTACCGCGGAGTTTTTGATTTTCTTTTCGATTCGTTAATGTTCCTTGGGATTATAAAGTTCAACGAGTATCCTGGTGCGCTACTCTTCTTGATGATAAGAAGTGACTCTACCGAGTTGGGAGAAAGAATGAATTTATCGAGTTCGAGGGACGGGGTCAAGGAGTTTCAAGAGGGGGCGATGAGAAAAAAGTAATAAGTTTTATTAAAGGGAATAATAATAACGAGATGAAAGTTTTTCCGAGAGTCACGGGGATGATCGAGAGTGAGGAAATACGAGGTGAAAAATGAGTCGTAAGAAGGTAATGAGATCTCTGTTTGAAAGAGCGAGTGGCGACAAGTGAAAGATTGCTAATGAAATAAAAATAGGTAAAACGAAAAGTTGAAATTGCGTTTCTAAAATCACGTGTGTCAACGTCATCGGTGAGAAACACATCACCTCTCTCTGGGTCACGTATTATTTTACTCCATGATTTTTCTCAATTAACTCGGTAATTCTCACCACTCGATAAATAACCAGAGGATGGGCGAAAAAAAATCACGTTCACATGCTTTCACACCTTGTACCCGTTATTTCGCCTTTGTCCCTGCGACCGCGGTTCAACTCGCATCTGCGCGCAGATAATTACGTATTCCCTGGCAGGCACACATGAGCGTAACAAAAAGGCGAAAAGACGAACTAATACGAAAAAGAGTTCTTTTACAAACCACCTGGCGACATACCACCTGAAGACATGACAATCGAAAAAAAAGTCTTTTTTTTCAAATTTTCCATGCCTTTTATTTCTCATTCTTAAAAATAACTTCTCTGATGTAAATCGGCGCAGTTGAGGGAAAATCATTTCTGCAGACACGCGTTTTACTCTGGTGTATGTATCCGCAACTGTGTATTAAATAAAACGGTGTAATGTTGGAGTCACGTAGTGGCAATTAGTGGTCTATAAGATCGAGTGGGGAAAGTATGTTGGTATAGTTTAGGAATATCCCTGGGTGTTTGAAGTTGAGTAGAGGACGGCTATGGCCGAGCCACTGACCTTCCCTCTTCGCCCACCGCCACCCCCTTTCCCTCACTCTCATCATTCCCCTCCATTTTACCTCCTCTTTCTCACTCTCTATAAAAAAAATACCTCACATAAAGGATTGAAAAAACCAAAAATTTAATTATGTGACTTATATCGTTATCGATATCATGATATAGTGCACTAAATTGTCATAAAATAATTGAACCAATATTTCACCTGTCCCGTGATTTGCTCCTCGAATATTGAATGTCGAATGATTTATCGGCAAAATTGCGTTGAACCGAAATTGTATTCGAAGAATTCTAACATTAAATTCAACAAAGAAATTTTGGTCATATAGGTGCGGTCGATTCCCCCATTATCATCTCCACCTCTGACATTATTAACGAAACTTTCAATTTATCTATTTTCTTTACAGAGACCCTGAGGAACGAGGAGTGGTAGAGCATCACGAACGTGGGAGAAAAACGACAGCGGATCATGCCTGAGTTTATTGGTGCGCGTGTGTAAAAAAATATCCAAGTGAGAGGAGTGTAATTGTAAAAAAATCACGGGCAAATGGCGATCCGAGAGTTATAAGGATAGATGATAAATATATACAGCGTGAATGCATAGGAAGTTGAGGAAAAGTGTCAAGTGTAGAGAGATAACACGGAGGGATGATAAATAAGTGAATTTTCGTGCTCGAGAAAAGTGCAACTTCCTCCCTCTTGTTACTCCCCTGGTGTATATATCAAAGTGTTCTCAACTCTAATTTATCTTGAACTGGATTTATTTGTGACATAAGGTGGTTCATTACTCAACTGAAAGTAATCACGAGAAAATTCGTGCGGATGCACGGACGCGTGTGCAAACGCGTGACTTTACAAGGTGCGTCAGTGTGCGTATTTATTTGTGTCTGTGAATCCTCGTGACTTGGGAGGATTTAACGCGGGAAATTCGTGTTCTTCCTGCAGCGGATGACGTCATTACCGGTGAGTTGACCATTTGGGAGAATATTAATTTTCACTTATCAAGGGGTGTCGTATTTTGAAACAAATGGACCACCCTTGACGAATTTACGTCCATGAAAAATAGCTGCCCCTCGAAAAATATATAAATATATAACTCTGGCCTACATACTCGCGCCTCAGTCCCAGACATTTTTATCACCTTCACCCCCGTGGATATTTTCCATTCCCACGAGGGAAACTACTCTGAAATTTGTGGAAATCTTGACATTGAAATATGGAATATTCTATCTAAAAATCAATGAAATTCGTATTTTTTTTATTGAATTAATCGAAAGCAATGATTTAAAAAATTTTAATCATTAAATTTTTTAAATTAATGATTTAAAAACGTCAATTTCAATGTAATCTTCACTAAGTTACGCACGGATTTCTCATTCCTCGAAATTTTCCACTTTTTTTTGTTCATTTCCTCCTCGTCCAACTATTCTCGTATTCTTTTAATCCTCGAATATGACTCATACAAATCGTGACTTAGTCAACTCAGTTCACAATGTGCTCTCACGTCACACACTCATGTATTAGTGTAATTGATGTAGGTATTCGATTATTACGAATGAATCATCCATCCCACATCACCCACGTTAAAAATACCAATGACAAAAACAAGGGTCATTAAATTCATAAAAACAAGTGCAAAGGAAACCCAAGAAGCATCCACCGAGAATCAGTCTCCCATCACCTCAGAGTTTTGCGCAGGAAAAAAAAAACTTGAATGTCTCACTCGCAAAAAGCGAGTCCAGGGTTGCAATTTGTTTTTCCAAGATTTCAATTAAGATTGTTATGGTGGAAGAGGCAGCCTGACGATTTAAACCGAATTATCGATATAAATGAATGGACTCGGTAATTAGCATATTTATGGGGGACTTCCTTTCGCTGTAGGATAAACCGAGGTCGAGGATCTTCCCGGATGATGTAACGGTGCGGTGCAAGTAGAGAATGAAAACTCAGGATGACGTAATATATTTGGTGTCTCCCTGACACTAAAGTTCAGTAGACTAGTACGAGGGTCTCTTCTTCAACCCCTCTTCAACCCCTTTTCATCTCCAGCAATCAACCCTCAACTCCTCCATTATCCTCTCTCGAATTAATGTGATCCCGGTGCAATTAAACTTTTTTATCCTCAATATTTTCGTCTCAATTACCGGCTCTCATCGATACCCATTGCCTCTTCCCCATTACGTCTGAGAAGTGTTGTCAGTCCAAGAGGGACACAATAGCTTGAAAAAAAATATATATTAACGAACGCAAAACGGCAAAGTGTGCAAACGATTTTCTGCGCTTCCAATGCGGAAAGGGGCTGTTGATTTTTACCCTTTTTGCATCTTCTCTCCGTGCTATTCCCTTTTTTCATCCCTTATTCAGTATTTTTCCTGCACATCTCTTTGTACCGCGTCAACGTCTCTCACCTTTTCCAATACCTTCAGACAGCTACGTCTCTCCGGCGTGTTGTTGTCTGTCTTCTTCGGTGTAAATGTATAGCTCGAATGTTTCACCCCATGTGGAGATCGATAGCTGTGGAGTATATATATACTAAGGGGTCGAGAGGGAGGGGGTTGTGAACTTTTGTATACGCAAACTGCAGCAACGGTGTTATGGTTATATATAATCGCCTCCACAATAACTCACGCCATTTTTCTGTTGATTTTTTTTTTTCTCTCTTCGGTACTTCCGGGTCTTCTCTCACTGCTAATAATGGGTGGAGTGATTTTTTTTCTTACAGTTCTTTTCGAGAATTGAGGTCGCGAAGGGAGAAATCGTGGAGTGGAAAACACGGGGGTGGCTGAGGGGGTGGGGAAGGGGTGAAGAGGGAGGGCACAGAGGTGATTGAGGAGGATGATGATGGCGTTTCAAACTGAAATTTATCGCTGACGAGATAATCCCGGTGTCGGTATTCCACTCTCTGTCGAATATAGCTGGGGTATGAATATATTCCTTGTGGGCATCTTTCTGCATTCTCGGTTACCATGATAATTCATGGGGCTTTCGAAAATACCCAGTTGTCGGATAGTTTCCGAGGGAAGAGACACGGAAATTGTCAAGATATTTATGATGCATTGGGCTTCGACTTGAGTGTTTCTTATCCTTGAAAATCCGGTTCTTCTTGACGTTGCGATATTTTAATGCAACGTCGATGGGGAGAACTCGTGTTACTAGTCACGATGATTTTCTCTTGGTGATTTTTTTTTCTTTATGGGGGTAATGTGACTTTTGAGTCAGCTAACGAGAGGAGGAAATGTTATGTGAGAACGCAGATTCTGTCATCTCCCTTTTATTTTTGTTTCAATTTTCAAGTGGAGAATTTTTTTTTTTTCGACTTTTTCTCGATAAAACGGAGGGTTAGTTTAGGAGGTTTATTTTTCGGTTGTCAGTTGTGAATATTGTGAATCCTGTGGTAATGAGATTATTTTTTGAGTCATATCATTGTAATCCGAACCGCAGGAGACGATTACAAAGTCATTCGTTGAATGATATTTTTGTGGGGCTTGTGACATAATACTCTACTACTTATCGAGACGATAGTAAATAGTCTGGAAGGATTCAAGAGGGAAATGTTCTTGAGTCAAGGATTTCAGGGAGATATCCTCGAATGAAAAATATTGTATTCTTGAAATAAAAATCCCTTGACTTTATTCGGACTTTCAATGAATCGTCAATATTGTCTTCTTTGATTCAATCCGGGGATCTCCTTGTAGTGTTTACATTTCGATACGAGTCATGCTATCGGACTTTAAGAGTTTCAATCAATAAATTTGTCATTGATATTGCGCTACCGCATTGCATTTCAATTATTAAATCTTACTATTTAATTCTTAAAATTATCTGCAACATTCATTCAAATTTCTCCGACATTCGTCACGTTCGTATTGACTTGGCCATAATATTTCATAAATTAAAAACTTCTTCGTCAATAATATCATTCACCCGAGTGAATATTATTGATTGAAAAAACTAGTTTATTTTGTCAAATTATAAATCGATGGAATTGGCTTATCAGCAAATTCTCTGTGAGGGACAGTGAAACGTTCACCAACAGATGCCCCCATCACTTTCCAAAGCACATTGTTACAAAAACCGAGGTATTACATTCAATTTTTTATCAAAACAAACGATAAGTTGTGAAAGACCTAAAGCCAATCATAAAACAATCTCTCCATTATTCCACGTAGGAAATGCATTCTATGGCACCGGGCAAATTACAAATAGCTATTGCAGTATGACGTCACAATCCATCTCTCATTCACCTGAGACTTATTTCTTGGCCGTTACCGTCTGAAATAAAAAATACCTATCGTCATTCTATTTTCCTCCACGTCAATAAAAAATGTCGCGAGAAGAATCGATCGGTTGCCCCTCCCATTTCCCTGGGCTGAAGTCGAATCATCGAGAATAGATTAACACACATATTTCGGATAACGTCTACACAATAATGCCAATTTGAAACACCCGATAATCCCTAATATTCGATCTGTGGTATGCGAGAATACGAATCAATGGGGCAGGAACTCCGTTAGTAGTTCAGCTTTAACCAGCCCTCCCACAGTGTTCGCTGGTGGATTTAAGGGTGGACTTTCCTCAGTTGCCCTCCTACTCTGAATCAATGAACCACTCTAAAAAATATATTTTTCCCATCAATAGATGATCAACCATGATCCAAATTCATCATAATTTATCATAATTTATCATTATTAGATCACAAAAACTCGCGTGTTACCCAGTAAAATAACCGCCACTGGAATTTTTCTCTAGCCCCTTTTTCCGTGTCAGCACTAGAATTTTTCGAAAGAATTTCTCTCCGTGTAGCACGCAATCGGCGGGGATTAATTAAAAATTCTGCGTAATTTCGTATTAAATATTCATGGCTTTATTAAAAATTCATATAATTTGGGGAACTCTCATCCCCCGGCTGCTCATAAGCACACTCCTGAAATTTACTAGTCAACTGTCCGTGAAATTTCAATTTTTTTTTCAGACCCGGTATTTGATAGGGTTTTTCTCCACCCCTCGATTTTCCTTTTCTCTTTCTTCTGCAATGTTCCTGACCCAATTATCTGTCGCATTGATCCACTCCAATATCTAGCTCAGCACTCAGGAATAATTTCCATTTCTATTAAATTTTTTTCTCCACCATTCTCCTCTGGAGACTCAAATAGTAGTGCATAAGGTATAGACCATAGAGTCTTATGTGCACCTTGCATTGGTCTAGGGTAACGACAAATTATTCAGCACGATCGAGTTCTCCTGGTGTCTTTAGATAACCTCGAAAATGAGAAACCCTCACTATAAAATAAATTTCACCGGTAAATTGACTCCGTCATTTAGTGCATAGTAGACCTACACTAATCGATTATTGCGATTATTCTCTCTATATTCTATTTATCCGTTTGCCCTAAGAGTCCGCAATCATCACAATTTTTTTTGTTTACAAATGAAGACACCACACAAATTTCTTGCAACTCCGCGTTATTTCCAAACACCTGAAATCTATGCAAGAATATTCGAGTATTTGTCGTTAACCGGTCGAACGAGAATATCAAGGTTGACGACACAAAACGTGACAGGAAACGGCAAAGACGAATTAGAAGGACATTCCAATAAATAAAACCGTTATCTTCCACTAAACGGGAAATACTATTTTATTCAATAAAATATAAGAAAGAGCTCCGTCCACGGGTTGAAATAAATTTGAGTCATTACGGATTGAATAAATTTTCAATTCAAGTTTGAATGGCAGAATATTTTCCTAAAAAATACAAATAGCGGCGAATCGACTGATCAGATATTAAATGATCAATGAAAAATATCACTCCGATATCTACCGCCTGGAATGAAAGGATAAAAGTACCAATCGTGCATGCAAAAATGGATTAAAAATGAATGCGTGTCATGCACGTAAATCATCGCCCACGCACGAAATATTTTCGATTTGCTGTTCTGTCCCCAGGGCATATTCAGATATCGAACTTCCATTTTGTGTAACGATGTATTTCCCCACTGCAATGCTCATTGCTACGCATTTGGCTTTCGTTTCTCGTACTCGATAGGATATTGCAATCATTGTATCACAACACTCATTGAAAAACGATGCATAAAAATACCGAAGTAGTATGTAAGATTTATAAATAAACATTCAAGAGATATTAATATTGGATTTGGTATTTGTTGGAAGTCAATGTACAGTCATAATCACATGGCTTATCACTTCCCGATGTAAGTCACAACGAACTTATCTCAGGCGTCCTTCAGGTGATAAGAATTTTCCTGTTACTATTACTCATTTTTCCATGGTTTCATTTATTTATTCTGATTCACTCGGATGTCTGGGGATGGAAGGATGGGAAAATTTGTGGTTATTTTTTATCTATAAATCTCGTGGTGCTGGTGAAAATGATTGGAGCGAGAACACTCTCAGCTGTTGGTTATGATCGTATGTAATAATAATAACAGTCATCCACGATGGATCCCTAGTGTGCAACATCTAACGCTCGTATCATTAACCTACATTGGCCAATCATCCTTTAGATCTAAGAGTTAGTGACTGCACGCCACTCTAAGAGTGTTTCACGTGATGCTCAGCCACATGGAAAAAAGAAAAAAAAATGAAACAATCTGGTCTAGATGCTGTTTATTAGCAGTTGTAATATGAAAAACGTGCCTCAGGACTGAATAGCTTGGTTTATATCGCCACTCGTTATGGGCTTATTAAATCAATCTTCGTTTGCAAAATGTTGGGAATACTGCAGGGGGAATTTGTGGATGGGGGAGTGTAGCTGGAGTTGACCTGGTGGTTACAAAAATTATTCAAAGTGAAAAAGTCCGTTGACATTTTCGTAAATTTGGTTTAAGTATTTGAAAAGGATTCCACGTGCACGTGAATTTATCATTAATTAAAAATTCATGAAATGGAGAAAGCACAGCTTCGCGTAATTTTTATATAAAATTTAATCCGTATTTGCATTTTTTTTCTCCATTTCACGAAATATTCTGATATAACTGAATTAACTGATATACGATTCCAGTGATGAACTCATCATATTGTTGACTTCGAATGACGGGTTTTCGTCAAATTTCAGTAGTAATCAAAAGTTCATACATATTTTTGGATATTAAAACCATTATTGTTTGTTTAATTGTTATTTAATTGTGAATTGTTTTTTTAATTGTTTCAGTACATAATGCTCCAAGGGTGATGGAGACAGTGGGCAAGCAAGTCCAGGTAGTGAGTGGACTGGGGGTGGGGGGTCCGGTGGGGGGAGATCTTCACCATCATCACCACCCCCACCCCCACGGGGGGCACGGACACTCCCTAGTTGGCGGTGCGTCCACCCCCGCCCGCGTTCAGCCCCAAACACATCAGGCCCAACCGCCACCGCCCTCGCACAATCAGCATCTACCAGCGAGATCCACACCCGTACAGCTGCACCGGTAAGTCCGATAATAATTCTTACTTTCAACCCCCAAGAAAGCATTATCGCATCCTCCATGAATTACCAACTACCAACTGCCGCTGAAAATAAGCAAAATCATCATTCGCGGCTCAATTCAATAAGAACTTCGTCATGTCTTCAATTATATCTTCAATTTCACTTCCGCGACGTAATTGCCCCGCGGGTTTCCCGTTGCCTCGTTAGGATTTCCTGCGAGTAGCAAATGCCATTGCGTCACACTCATGAAATCACTGTGATGTGAAGAATTTTTTTTTCACTTACATTCAGTACAATTTAGCCCAACACTTGAGGAGACCCAGAGCAATTCTCTTGACAGATTTTTCTTTGTGAAGTTTTTCGGGATTTATTATTCTCTGTGAATTCACAATGGAATGTGTGTGAAAATTACCCTCGGAGCATCAATCCTCCTAATTACATTCGTCCAAGTCTCCCATTATCCTTGCCTCGGGAGGAAATTCACTTGTCACTTGAGAGATTAAAACCAAAAATTCCCTTGAATTATTTTTTGCCTCGAGATAAACTTGTAATTGGACATCTTTTGAACAATCCCTCATTTCCGTAAATGCCTTTATTGCCCATTACAACGAACGGTTTATGCCTAATGCCTGAATGTTAAGGTTGTTGTTAGTATCTTGCAAATCTTGAAAATAAATTAGGATTTATGATTTCCTCCCGAGGAACAAAGGATTCTCTTCAATTCTAGAGAAACGGAATTTCATTAATATTAACATACACGGGGAAATTTCAACTGTAATTAAAATTGTCCACCAAATTGTTGGAATATCATGAAAATGAGACGGAAAAAGGATTTTACAGTTATGGAACTCCGTTAGCCACAAAAAGTAAAAAAAAACGCAGAAATTTTGCATTATCTTGTGTCACATCAATCAAAAGTTAATAAAAAATTAACTGAGACGGTAAAATTGATTAAAAAAGGGTAATACACCGTCGAACTATTTTTAGATTCTCAATCATAAGAAGAAAAGCCCCTAAGAGGTTGTAACCGCGAAATCCGAAATAACGACGTTTTAACGAAGTTGAAAGTTCTCAAGTTTTTTATATCGATTCTCATAAAAATACTGAAAAAGTCGATGACCGTGTGCCATCAGAAATTGTGCCATGGTGGTCACGGCCATGGGCATATGTGTATCCCACTTCCACTGATTTCGTATTTCAAGAGGTGGGGAAAAACAGACCAACTTTGTAACGGCCACCGGTTGCGAAATATTCGCGGTTCCTCGCGCACGCCATCTGTGTACATCACACCAATGGCAAAATAATACTCGTGTGTGTGAATTTCTGGGCACGAAGCGAAACACGAGACGCCTCCCTTTTTCCGTTTTTTTTTTAAATTTTATTTTTTCCATCTTATCATGATTCTCAATCTCTCCTCTTCCCTCACTCGACTGATAGTCTGGATCATGGCCTACCTGAATTCATGGGCTGAATTGTCAGGGGTCATCGTGGCAATCGCCCTCTCCTCTGGGTTCATGTAGACTTTTTTATCATGATCATTGCTATTATCGATCCACCAACGGTGTTGCCACGTCGTTGGCACAATGAATCATCAATTACGTAAATTCCAATGGAATTTTTACCACTTTATCTGTAATCTGGAGAGCTTTTTTTCTATAGAACAAAAAAGTAGCTTGATTATCTTCGACGCTCGACGATTGTCGATTACTTATTGATTGAACTTCTGAATGAAAAGATGGAGGCGACAGGTGAAAGGAATCGAATAAGATATTATCTACACTTGGGAATTAAATTTCACTACTCCAATTTTTTATAAAATCCAAGCAATGTGCCCAGTTTTTTTCAAGTACTGTAGAGCTAATTGAGATAGATCAATATTCATGGTCACTAGTTGTTCGAAATTGAAATATATTTTTAATTGAAATTTCAATTCATATTCTCCAACACTCATCCGTCGAAAATCGAATTCCCAGACCTCGAGTACAGATTCCTTTGGAACCCAAGGTCATCTTCCATTAATTTGCAGTCGTCGATTTGTTCCAACGTCTTTATCAATCGTCGATAACACAGGACATCCTCCGCTGATTAACATGAATTTAAATGGACAGATGAATTCCTTGGTCAGAGAACTCTCTCAAGGGCACCAGACCCCCTGGAATTTTCTATTTGTTGATTATTGACATTATCAAGGATTTTAGCACCAACTATTTACACCTCAGTGAGAAATTCAGTCTCACCTCTATTTATCGAAAAATCTCCTGTGCTCCCAGGGAATCATTGTTTACCTTGAATTCGCGTCGAATCATAATCGCGGTCTTCTCGTCTGGCCAAATAAAATTCTCTCGTGTTAGAGGAAACCTCTTCACAGAGGAAACAGTAAATAAAAATAAAGTGAAGAGAAAAAAGGACTAGTAAATTTGTGTTGGAAAGCCCTGAGGCTTGTGGGCAATCAGCGTGTCTTTCGAATCGCGTTTCTCAACAAGTATAAGAGATCATTTCTTCCCTCTTTCTCCCTTTTATCTCTTGATTTTTTCCTTATATTCGCGCATGCGCATTGAACCGCCATAAGAATACTCTAAGACTACTGCTACCTGTCGATTCTAACCTCAAACGTCAGTGCGCATGTTTTTCTAGTCTATCGCGTGGCCAAATTCATTAGTGTGAGTTTATCCCATTCCGCTTCTCTCAATTCGCTGTGAAAAAAAATATATCATCTCAATTGCCTCCCAATGGAACCAATTACTGTGCGCCGCCGAAGGATCTCCAAGTGCGTTTTCATGTATTGCTGATTGGATTTACCTTAGCATTTCAATTGGCATGGAATTATCTCCGCGAGAGCCAACCGTAGTCATCGCATTGTGGTTTAAACACCTGTATTCAAATCATGGAGTAAGTTCATCGTTAAATTAATCATTGCTATTCGAACGTTGACAGAACTCATCAACGAGTTTCCCTTCCAAATTTCGTCTGTAAAGTTTATTATAGTTTATATTGTTGTAACAATCGCCGAAAATTCAATGGGACCGGAATAACGGTTTCCCCGAGTTGAACTACAACTGCTTTCAATCAATTCAACGAACAAACCCGAAAATCCCTCGACTCCGAGTACTTTCCGATACTTTTCACTCTCCTCAATCATTCGTTTCGTCCATTTCACCTTTCTCTCAGTTCCATTGACTATTTTAATCCCAATCCTTCGTTGAATCAACTTTATTGGCGCACAGCTGGATGCGAGCCCTCCCGTGCAAATGCAAAGTTCAATACCAATCATTACGCCCAAATGAGATAATTTTCCTCCTGCCGTGAGTCATATTAATGAGACGCGACACGGAGACATCTCCGAGGAGTCCGTTGTTTGCACCCAATTAATTCATATTTTCCTCGTTGTTGTTGGATGCTGAAACATTTTCGACATATTCCAAATAGCTTTCTTCCCTCATTATATTAGGGCCATGTGCTAAACACAGATCATATCGCGAATGGAATGAACCTTGTTCACATGCCTCTACCCCTCCCACCCTTGAACCACCAATTTTGAGTATTTCGGGAAAAAGAGTCGAGCGAAATTTCAGTTAGTCCGTCGGAGTTAGTTGGTTACTCTGCGGCGTGCATGTACACGTGTAAACAAGAAGTAGTTCTCCATAAGAGCACTCGTAATTTACAATTGGCCCTTCTCGACGTGCAACAGCCCTCGTCGTGGCCACAGCCTCAGCCACGTCTCAACGAGCCACACACAAACGTCAAAGTAACAGCCCCCACAACATCATCGATCCCTCTCTCCCTCTGTCCATCGGCAATTGCTATCATTGTCACACCTCCCGACGAGTCATTATTTCTGCTTACCAATATGAGTTACATTCTCACATGTGGAAGCATCAATGGAGTACATCTGAGTTGATCAGGAGTATTTTTCATTCTTTGTCGTTTTTTTTTTCTCGTGATATTTTGTTTTTCATGTGTCGCATGTGCGTTCTCTCATTGCCTCATCTTCCGCTGTCTCGTTACAACGTCCATGAACACATGTATGTGAGTTAAGGGTCGGCGAGGTGACACGAGGGGGTGGAGGCGGGTGGAGGAGGATGGAGGAGGATGGAGGCGAATGGAGGAGGATGGTTGAGGGGGTGATGAGGGGCCGAGAGGGAAGGGGTTGTGGGGAAGAGGGTGGGGAAACTAGGGCTTTTGCAAGCCAAGTGGGAGGGGGTCAGCGACCGTTACGTCATCGACGACAAGCAGGCGGTCTCGTGGCGTCGGGCTAGAGCCAGCGACAAGTTAAACCCCGACATTGCTCACTGAATCGTCCTTTTACTTCTCTCACTCTGTCTCTCATCCTCTCTCACTTTATCTCCTCCGCCTCATTTGAAAATCGACGAAAATTTGTTTTAACGAGCAGTCCTCTGGCAATTGTTTTTTCAATCTCTCTTTTATCCATTCGGTCTTTTTAATTTCTTCATTGTCTCGTTTTTTTTTTCTTCACTTTCATGGAGTGTTGTGGGTTAATTGGAGCATAAGAATGAAAAGACGCGGTCGTGAATGGGTGGGGGTGGAGGGAAATCGTAACGGAGCAATAATGCGAAATTGGATAGCAACGCCACGACTAATCCATCATCCGTTGCTTTCGTGATCGGGTACGTCGACCTTTCTCTCACCCGTGGAATTTCCCGGATAACGCTTCTACATACTTTTGCCCTCCCCTTCCTTCACTCTGGCACGTTTGAAGACGAGGTTCGATTATCGATTACGTCTCCGATGACAGGTGCGGGAGAGCCGCGACGCCTATATCGCATTACCTCATTTTTTTTCCTCTCCGACTTCAGTGGGCACTTTTTTTTTTCAACGAACGTGTCAAGGCAGGTGCGGGCTAGAGCGTCAATGGTGGAGAACCTTCACGAGGCCAAAATCTGCATGAAAATCCTGGGGTTTTTTAGGGTTTAGACGAATGACTGGGGGTTGCGCGGGATTGGATGGGGCAGTTTGTGGCTTATTCCGGGTTGGATAATCAGCCAGGTGCTGACGATGAGTTTCCGCGGATAAAAAGATACTTCTTTGAAGGCAATCTGCTTTGCACAGTATTAGTGGTAGAAAGTTTTTGGAAATTCCCGTGATTCCAGTGGAGGAAGAGCAATAATGAAAGGAATCTTTCAGTTTGTGGAAATTGAATTGTCAATGAATTTGGAACTCAAGATTTGATTCCTTTGAAATCTTTTTTTTTTTTTAATTTTCTACAATAATGGAATTTCGTCCAGTTTTGCCTGGTTTGAATTGGTTTTGATAAGAATTACTGTTCTGTTATATTCAGGTTATATCGATCACCCTTTTGTTTAACAATGTGCCGAGCTTAAACTGTCATTCTAATCGATTGTGTCAAGTTAGTTTTGGTTGATGGAGACAAATAGAACTGGGTTATGCCTACATAAAAATTGATTGAAAATATGAAATACAATCGAATTGGTACCTCAGTTACCGTGATAACACGTGAAAAGGAAATGTCTATCCTTCGTTTACCTTCGATAACAAACTTTATTTTCCTTGCCAACGGTGAAACCGGACATACTCTCACTCAGGCGAATATAACCAAGTCCGTGTACCACTCCTTTGTCCCGGCAATTTCACAACTTCTCGATCGAAAAACATACGGCAAATAATAAAGAACTGAGAGTTTTTTAAGGGCATTCCGACTCAATTTCTGAACGCTCCAGACTTCTATTGATTGTGGATAACTTGAGTAATAGAAATAGATTCCTCCACCGCAGTAAATTTCTATTTTCGAATCTCTTGAAATGCCGGACGTCGATAATGACCTCAATGGGCTTCACTTCAAGCCTATACATCGTATTAACTCTGTTTTATACATCAGTGCATGGAGTCATGCAAATCCATTGAGAATCCAATTGAAACAAATCATAAAAATTGCATTATTCATCTGGGATGTTTAAATGAAAAAACGTAATCTTATCATTCAGTCGTGAACTGCGTGAAAATTAAGGCTCAACCTATAGGTTGTTTTCAACAGGGTCAAATTTCCATAAAAAAATTAGTGCCCAGGCGTTTCAGCTGCAGGACATAATCCAAGCATCCCTGCCAAATAAATTTTAAAAAGTGGTACGCCGTTGAAATCTCCAACAACTGCCGGTTTCACTGGAAATTTAAGTGATTCTCTTTCGGTAAAATGACAAATTGTAAAATTCTGCATAATTCAATAACCATCAATCACACATTGAATTAACAAAAACTCTGCCCTGAAAATTTCCATCTGTCCCTTTCAACCAATTTCCACCATTATTCACCGAACAAAAAAATTATGTGCATAAAGCTGGCCATTTCCATGCGACAAAAGTGATTTTGACCCAGAAATCTCCCTTTTTCCGCGAATTTCTCACTAAAACATTTCCTCCCTCATATGAAAAAAAAAAAAATAAAGCAATCGTCAGCTGAAAGGAAAGTGTTGGCCTCCTCTTCTTCATTGTTGAAATCCATCACCCATGGAGAATGATTTTTGCCATTACATGAACTGGAGAGGACCCCCTCCCAGCGTCGTTGCCATACAATCCGGCAACACTGCATTAAAAAATCCCTGTGGAGGGATCCGGTCTCTCACAACTGACACGACTGGTAGTTGTAGTTGGGTTGTAGCTCGTACTCCGATCTCGCGCATCTCAAAACCTATGGCAAGCCACGTGCCTCAAACTCGCGCTACTTTGCCCACAGCATGTGCGCGCGCACCACCTCACCGCCATTATGCCGTTCAAGTTAACCCTCGACCAATTGGATTTGAGAACCGGTGCGCATCCTCACTCGGTCTGTTGTTACTATTTAATCTCCCACTCCCCAATTCTCATTTTATGCCGGATTGGCGGAGCGCGCTAAACTACAGCCTGGGTCATTCCCGGTTCCTCCGGGCTCCCTTTTTATTTTTTATTTTTTTATCTTATTTCGTTTTACATTTATTTTTATTTTTACCAACTTCCCACGCGAAGGAGAGAAACCACTACCACAGCCGCCGCACCAACTCCACAGATCTAATTTCCAAACCGCTCCTAAGACTTTCGGCTCATCTCGGTCGGTTACTCTCTTGCTCTTACTCTTTCTCTATCTCTCTATTTGCACGTTCTGCATTTCCACGGCATCACCATTTTGCCCCATAAAGTACGGGGATAGCCTCTGGGGTTGGCTGTCTCAGGCATTTCAGTGGTGAATTGCCATTTCGAAACAGAAGGGCTCATCCTTACGCCACTCCACCACCGAATTTAACGTTATCTTGGTCGCGTGCTCGGTTAACTCCAGACTCGATTGTTGTTGCAGATTTCAATGATGGTCTCCCCATCCACCCGGAGATATACAAGGGTGAAATGAAAACTGCTGCCATCGTCAAACTCTTGCCCCCCGGGTATCTCCCAGGGATACGTAATTCAAGCTATTTGAATTGGATTGTACTCTATATGCAGAGTAATTTGAATATTTTTCCAATCCCCACGGTAACCGGCATTTTTTCCTTCATTATTATTTTGACGATTGAAATACATTTTTCATGGATGAAAATAAGGGCGAGGGTAGGAGGGAGGCATTGTGAAATTTACCAAAAAAGTCGTTTGGCAACACGAGACGATTTCCAGGGTATATATATACCTTCATACATTCTTCTCACGTGTTGGGCGTTTGCGCGAGAACTGGGTGCAAAGTTTATCGGGTCGGGTCAACCGAATATATTTGCGCATCAGCGAGACATCTCGGCGCGCGTGTTATACTGTGCAACAGAGAAGGAGAGAGCATGAGGATGAGAAATTGTTTCACAATGTTTGTTTTTCCAAAGTTGCCTGTGGGCCCTTGGGAGGGTTGAATTTTGCTGGAGAAAAGCCGATCGATGGCAGTACAGTTGAGCGTGACTCGAACGTTAATCAACATTTGACCCGCGGGAGCCAAACCATCGCCATAACGTACAGTTCTTGGATAATCCCTTTTCAGAGGACCTGGAAGAATTTTTTTCTCAAATCTCATTGCTATTCGATGAAATCAACACCGATCATCAAAAGAGAAAATGAAAATGCCGCCCTTTCATCGTCACGATATATCCGCAACTGGCTGAGGCTGATTATCATGAAATTATCTGTTCCCGAGATAATTGCCGAGTCACTCCCCAATGTGAATGCGTGGAGAAGTCATCGGACTCTTCCAGGCTATGCGATTAACTTTTTACTTTTTTCCTCGGACTTTTTTTTCTCCTCGTATTCGTTTTCCCTCTCACCCCCAACCTCAATCATGATCTGTACACCTTCCCCTCTCGAGTTTTTCTCATCACGTCACTTTACTGCCTCAACCTCCCCTCCATCTGCTCATCACGATCATTGACCTTTGCCTGGCCAGACGCAGGTGCCGCTTGTTGTATATACTGCAAGTATATATACAAACACCGGTTGTGCGCCTTCGCGGAACAATATTCGGGGTGTGGCGCGACCTTCATAGACAATAAAGGTCACGGGCCACGTGAAAAATTATTTGCTGCACGGAGAGAAATGTTCAGTAGTAACAGCTCAACTGCTCCAAAATAATCGGTTATTTCTCTTAGACGCTGGCAGTTGCTCTATAAAATTCCACCCATTTTTTTTTTCAGTTGGAGTTAATTGGCCCATTTCTTTATCACCGATTCATTTAAAGTTTTTCGTATTATTTTAGGATTATTTGCTTTAGTTAGTCTGGATGCGTTTTCCTCGTCGCGGAATTTAAAAAACGGTATTACGCTCTAGGCACGTAAATGTTGAGGGTGGTTCTGTAATTATCCGGCATTCCGCTCCAGAATTACGGAACTTTCACGTAATTTTTCGTGAATTTTTCGCTTCGGGTAGGAAGTGGATCGTGGAATCGTTGACACCGGAATCCACCGGCACCCGGGGAGCCAGACATTTACATTTCTAGTTCTTTGATGCTCATTTCCCGGGTCGGAATTTTTTGTTTGGTTCCAGGGCACAGGCACCCACTGGAATCGTATGTTATTTTTCTCTTTTCATGTTCAGGCTTTTGTTCTATTCGGTATGTGGGTCATGCAAATTATTTCTACGGTGAAAAGACCGGGATGAGCGGGTATTTGTGATTTTTTCGCTCATTAGGTTGTTGATGGGGAGAATGTGTACATGTTGAATTATTTTTTATTTTCCAATGCGGGTGAATTTTTCGTTGTGGGGAGGATTTTGAGAGGAAAATTCGTGAATATTGTTCGCCTGGTATTGACCTTTTTTTACAGTTTTCGTTAAATGAGAGATTGACAGGAATTTAATTAGTTGGTTTTTTTTGTCGTGCAGAAAATTTTCAATAGAGTATTTATGAAATTTATCGATTAACTCTTTGCCTTCCGGTTATTTAGTAAATACATTTTCCGAAGTTGTTTATTTCCTAGAAAATTGAGAGCAGAGGAATTTAATTAATTACCTGAAGGCTTGGAAGTTAATATAATTTCTACTTATCATTTTAATTGATAAAGACTTATTAAAAAGAATTACAGAACAATAGACGGGAATGCAGGGAGAGGCACAAGTATTATTTCTTTTAATTCCGCGAATTAATTTTCACTGCAAAACTACCACTGAAATTTGTTAATTAACTCTCCGTCACTCTGGGGATTATCGGATATTTCTGCAGTATTTTATTCTCATGAAATTAAGAGGAGAGGAAATTGATGAGTTGGATGAAGATTTGAAGTATAATAGAGTCATTACGATCGTGCTGATGAATAAGAATTTGTGGAAGGCAATGGTAGAGGGGAATGACAGAAAAGAGACAGTGTAAATATTATTTTAAACTTTTCCTAATTGAAATGGAAATTTTAATGGTATTGAATTTGTTTATCATTTCAGTCCAACTCAGAACTACATAAACATCAAAAGCAACAGTCCGATACCAGCCCGTACTGTAGCTGTTAGTAGTTATGTACAGGGTGGAACTGGTACACCATCAGCCAGTGGTGTAGGACCACCAGGTAACAGTGGAGCTGGATCAACTGCTGGTGTTACTGGCTCTGCCGGTGGTAATTACGTCACAGTACCAGTGCCAAGTGGTCTCAGATATGTACATTCTTATCAACCACCGCCAGCACCATCCGCCCCCGTCAATCAGACACCACCGCCACCAGGTGCAGCTGCCGCTTACACCAGGGATCCATACAGAAATGCCACGTCTAATGTACGTATATCACACTCAAGTCAATACCTCCAAGCAATCAATCAATCCATCCAAGTACCGCGCATTGTTATTTATCGGTGAAATTCTTTCTGCTGATGACGCTGACCTAGATTCTAGTTGACAGATATCTTCTTTCATTTTGTCTTTTCATTAGTTTCTTCTGAAGCTTTTTATGTTCTTTACAATCGATCTTTTAATCAGTCAGCTATTGACAGACTTTTGCCATAGCCCCAAGGGTTAAATGTAGGAATTTCGAGAAAGTACTTTTTCTCCTAAATCGAATTTTTCCATCAACTAGCGCTTGACTGCGCGTGGAGTAGTCACTTTCCCTGGTCAAAAATCCCAGTGAACGTGGTTTTTCGCAAAATTGCTTTTTTTGCCATCAACTAACGGTTGATTTCAGTTATATTCGCCCTGTAGATAATAATAAAACCCTTAAAAATTGAAAAGCCGCGGAACAAAATAAAACGTTAACACTACCCCGGATCTTTCAAGAAAATTAAAAGTACCAGCATGCCTTTTACGGTTCCCGCAAGTGAACGTTTATTTGAAACTTTTACGATCGTTTATTAAAGCTTCATGGACTTCACCGTGCAAAATCACTCCGACAGAAACACAACTACCTAACAACAACCTAAAAATTCTTCAAAGATTCAACCGTGCATGTACTGAATTTCCATGGCTATTGTGTATTGGACGCCAATGACTGAATCAGATCAATTAATGCCAGTTGCGTTAATTGAATTTGCTGACTCCCAGAAGTGTAATTTTTCGAAAATTCACTCGACTGCAGGAACTCGTTCATTCCATTCATTCACTCGGAATCTCATGGGAGCACTGCCATTCCATTCACCCTTCAATTAGCTTACCTATCAAAAAACACAATTCGAAATAGTACCTCAAAAAATCACAACAAAAAATATTACAGCTGAAAAAATTATTGCTTCAAAATATTCCAGCTAAAAATATTCTATCAGAACACACATTATTTCGAGGCATTACAAGAACAAGGAAAAAAAACAATAAATTCTCATCATTGGTATATAAAATTTAGAGCGGTCACTTTCAATTAATGAATAATATTGGGAGTTGAATGAATATGTGAGGTATACCCACATAGAAATAATTGATACAGAGACTTAAGATATCATCAGTAAAGAATTGAACATAATTTTCTTACTCATAAATTTATTGGCCGGTTTGAAATTGAGATTCAGAGCAAGCGCCGGAGTAAAACTGTGACCCATTACGAAAGTGGGCGGTAAGACTACACTACTAATAGACCTGGCGTTTACAACGTGCAGGACGTTGGCGTGGGTGGGTGAAAGTTGTCTTTCCCCGTGTGGTTCACCCCCTTACGTCTCTTCCATCGTGCATTCACGTTGTTCGCTTCACTTTACCTCTCCACCCTTCAATTCCCTCCCATCCCTCATGACACTCCATCGTCGCAGTGGCGCTCGTTAGAGCATCTCCCGCACAAACTTTCAACCCCCGAGGAATCTCCAGTCGTTGTACTGCTATTTTTTACCCCCTATATCTGGAACACGCTCAATTTTACCTTTCCGCATCTCCGTTTTGTCTACTCCTATGGCTATTCACATTTCATTTTATGTTGAGTTAATGGACTCTCTAAAAAAATACCTGAGACTCCACGATGAAAATTATAAATGGACGTTTTTGTTCGGATAATGACGCTTTACTCCATCTCATTGTTGATGAAAAAATCATAGAGGATTTCCTATTTCAATATTATTACAACAAATGCACTAATAAAATTCCCCTTATTTTGCTCATGCTTTGGTAATGCAAAATTTGTTTGATAGAGGAGTATTTCATGCATTACCAGAACGACACTCTAGAATCAAAAAATGGTACACAAAGTCGTGAATTCAACATGCAAATTCCGCCGAAAAGATAAAATCAAATAACCCCATTGACTTATAATTGCAACAACTCTGCCTCACTCTCAGAATATTGTTGAACAGTGTGTATTCTTGAATAAAATTTAAATAACGACGAGAAAAGGAGTAAAAATAAAGGGAAAATATCAGGTGAATTTGCGTGATTGTGAGCAGTGAGTTGGGGTAAAGCCCCCGAAAATGCCGTGGGCGTGTTCTGAGTCTCACCAACGATTATGACGGTTTGATCGTTATTTCGTCTCTTTACAGTTTCTCCATTCAAATGACTGAGACATGTGTCTGCAAGTATCGACATTCAATAAAGCCTAACAACATACAGTGGAACAATTTTAAACTACCCCTCGAGCCACCCCCCGACTAAATACTCCGGAGCATAAAATCAATAATGAATTTGTATCTTATTCAGGTATCGGAGAGGGTGGCGATAAGTGTTAGCAGTAGTCCAGTAACTCAAGTGGGTGTTGGTGTTGGTGTTAGCGCTAATGAATATCCTCCGAATAGCCGGGGTGACCGTCCACGAATATCCCTGTTACCACCTGCATCAGTAGCACCATCGCCATCACCAACAAGCGCTGATTATCATGTTACGAGTAATAGGAATCAACGGGTACTAATGCCAATACTTGCTGTTGACCAGTATGGTAGGCAAGTGGAAATGGCAACGTTACAGGAGGCACCGCCCTTCAAGAAGATACGTCTTGGTCAGTCCCAGCAACAACCATCCTGTCAGACTATTTCCCCGGCTGATGTGTGCATTAAACAGGATCGTGTACAGCTGCCTCAACCACTCAGGATAGATACACGGGTGGGTATCAACATACATTCAATATTCCTATCTCATTTATCCATCCATCAATGGCAAACAACATTCACTTGTCTACCAAGAAAAGCTAAATCTATTCATATTCCCTCCATCTTTTATCCTCGAGCTTTTCGAGCAATGAAAAATCTACTTACTCCAGCTTAAAGGGGAGAGTGTGTCCGTGACACTCAGGAATACTGGGAAATTCCCATTTGTAATAGCAAAATGAGCTGGGGATTTCAGTCCTTTGGAAACTCCTTTCCAAAAGCTTCTTTGAGGAGTTTAATTTTTTTTTTCACATTGCACTATTTTCTTTATGATGTTGGCTTTGTTCTCGGCTGGAAATTTTTCCTCTACTTTTTTTTCTTTATTTTACTCGAAGTTAATTCTTCGAAAATTTCATAACAATTTGGAATTTATTCCGTAACCATTTCCAATCCAGAAAGTTTTTTTTACGGATTCAGGGTAATTTGGGGGTGGAATTCGGGGGTAGCTAACACAGCAGTCGGTAGAACAGTTTGCCCCATAATCTCTCGCTGGCTACCCTGTGTCTATTGATTTTCAACCCTTCAGAACTCCCTCAGATCTCTGTTTTATCATCTGCCTAGTTTCTGGTAGTCGATCCTCCCTCGGTTGTTGATAAAACCAACTGATTAATGAAAAATTCTTCCTTGCCAAGTGCAGCCGACAGCAGGTGCCTACACACCACAGACAGAGGCAATATCACCTACCCTACCCGAGCCAACGATTCAAGAGGATGCTGCATTTCGTGTTACCAAGGATGAATTGCTTCAGCAAATTGGCAGAGTTGATCGAGAAATTGCTAAACGAGAGGGTGAGATTACGACACGTAGGAAAAAGCTCAAGACCTTGGAAGAAACAGCGAATAAACCCCTTGAGCCAAGTGGATTGAAACGACCGGTTGAGGAGCAATCGCAACCAAAGCACCAGTCACCGGCACAGAAAATTTATGCTGAAAATAGAGTAAGTTCATGACTTGTCTTGTAAGGGAAGACTGCCATAAGTTTTAAATATCACTAGTGAAGAGGTATGGCTGGAAGAAGCTGCATAGTGCAAAAATATACGAACTCTCACACTTTCATAATTATTAAAAATATTTAAAACGCTTGATAGTCTCCTCTTAAATTGATTAAGACGTTCAAGGAATGGAGTTACATAGGTATCCAAGCGAAAGGAAATTAAGTGATAAGAGACAATCTTGGGGTAGAGAGAGAGAGGAAAATTAGTAACAGCTAAGGCAAAGAAGCTTAATTATATTACTTCGAAGGAGTAATTTTCGCCACTCATTTCCAGGATATTCGGGCAAAATGTAACAAAAAAGTTAATCTGTTCTTCACTCGGCCGTGAAATTAATTGTCACCTTGGTAAAAAAGCTTCTCTGCCGAGATTGAAGGGCACAAAGAATTTGATGGGTGTTTTTTTTTTTTCGTTGGGTCCACAGAAAAAAGCGGAAGAGGCGCATCGGCTATTAGATAGGCTAGGACAAAAGGTAGAGCTGCCGTTGTACAATCAACCGTCAGATACAAATGTCTATCAGGAGAACAAAACGAGGCATCAGACGTGCATGAGAACACGACTTATTGCTAGATTACGTGGGGAACATTCAGAACGTGCCTCACTCCATCGACAACAATCTCAGACTTATGCGATACTCGTTCAAGAGTGGCATCGCAAAGTTGAGAGGCTAGAGTCAGCGCAGAAGAGAAAATCAAAGGAAACGAAAAATCGGGAATTCTTCGAGAAGGTCTTCCCCGAGTTGAGGAAACAACGGGAGGACAAGGAGCGATTCAACAGGGTTGGTGCTCGTATAAAGAGCGAAGCCGATCTTGAGGAGATTATGGATGGGCTTCAGGAACAGGAGGTATGCTTATTAGAAATATCATCAATTTACGTCTCTCGGACTCACTATTCTTCAATAACAATTGTTTCTATGGGGGTGAAAATTTTTTGAACAACCTGAGAAGACCTGAGAAGAGTTTATTGAGTCAGGCTGAAAGGATCTCTGAAACATTCATTTAATTGCAATGAAATTAATAATCGAGAAGATGCGCTTCAGAGTTTTAGGTGGCTCGATCGGCTGCTTGATGGAAATATTTTGAAAGCTATGTAGTTAAGACTAGAATATGGTAAAATTATTCAAATATATTGACAATAATTAGAATTCTTTTTCTTTTCGGTTTAAAAATTGAAAATGGGTGGGAAAGGAAGACGTAAATTGAATATAAAAATTTCCTAAGATACACTAAAAATTCAGGCTTTCAAATTATTGAGCCGATCGAGTTACTGGAGTCAACGCAATTGGTTTTAAGTGAGTTTTTGGAAAAGTGAAGAGAAACAAGCACGTTACTAGACTGCCGATGACACTCTTCAGAGTATTTTTATCCTCTTTACTGTCCTTTCATCCTTCTACCTTAATCCTAATCCATAAACGCTTTTAATACAGAACTAGGTCGCTTTAATAATTGTCCAATTTACAATTAACACCCCTCGCTTATGCTTTACACTGAAATCGCGATTGCCCTCATGAAAATTAACATATTTAAAGTGTGTGGAGTGACGTTTGTAGAGAAACTAAAAATAATGAGATCACGACATTTTAGACCTGTGTTGGTTCATTGCATTAATATTTTTAATCAATATTTTTTGGCGAATGTTCGGGAGTTTTAGTGCATTGATTATATTTCCACTGGATGAAGCCAGAGTGGGGATAGAGCTTCAGCTGGAATGATAAACCAAGAAAATTGAAAAGAAATTCGTGATTGATCACATATTAAGAATGAAAAATCTATCACAACTACTTGTAATATTTAGAAGATGAGGAGTGAGAAAATTCATAAGTGCTGACACAATGTATTCTTTTCACGTTTGTCGGTTCTCTACACATAATAGTTATGTTTTATTTCAACACTTACCGTAATACCACTTTGCGAATGCTTCACTGGAAGATTCTTTTGCTACCTTAACTGATTTCCCAGGAAGAAGTATCGGCAGAGTTAAAAAAAGCTATTGCCATTCGTCAGGTTAGTAACGTGCTATTTTCTTCTTTCACATTTTTTATTATAAAAGGAATAAAAATGGTTCTATCATGAGAGAATGACAATCGAAGGATTAGTGTATGAGGCAATGGTCGAGAGAAATAAAAGAGAGCCTGATTAATGAATAATCTCTCGAGTTATAAATTTGCTCAATGATATTTTTACAGATGGAAGATAAGAAGATGCGCTCGTATGCCGTTATTCCACCCTTGCTGCTCGATGCCAAGCTGAGGAGAATTGCATTTCAAAATAGAAATGGTTTACTACAACCTGAGGAGCTGGAGGCACTTCACAGCGAGAGAAAATTGATAAATGTTTGGAGTGCTGTTGAGCATGAATTGTTCAAAGAGAAATATCTACAGCATCCCAAGAATTTTGGAGCCATAGCTCAAAACTTAGAACACAAATCAGTTCCTGACTGCGTGCATCATTACTACCTCACTAAAAAAGCTGAAAATTATAAACAATTGTTGCGAAAGTCACGACAAAGAACGCGTAGCTCTCGAAACAATCCTAACAATAAGGTAATGTATCTATTCATCTGTCAGTTTATTAGAAATATAAGAACAAGTTATTTTAAAAAATTCTTGTCACTCAGTCCGTGAGTGAGACTACGGATTGAATGACAAAAGATTCTAGAGGGTTGTTTGATGTATGTCTATTCCATTGGCTCTGAGATATTCCAACGAATTAAAACATTAAAAAAAATTCTAACTATTCCTTTGTAAGCCTCTGACGTCATGCCGAAATAATGATATGCAAATCAAACAATAAAAATAAAAAAACAATAGGAGACTCAAAGTGGAGCAGTTATTACAGCAATTCTCCAACACATCAAATACCAGTAAAATAAACCCAGAATGTATTCAGACCAATGCGAATACTATTATACCGGAAAACAATGTCTGCATACACAGCTATGCAAATAATTCGATCAAACTGGTTCAAAACGAACATTTCGTAATATCTCACTACGTCAACAAATAACAATTAATATTTATGTAATCGATGAAATTCGATCGATTCGATGAATTTCATGATGACACTCTCTAACAAAATAAAATACTAAACAAAACTTAGAAAACGTCATACATTCTCATTTTTTGTGGAAATTTAATGATTTAATCAATTTTCTTTTTTTTGTTACAGGTAAATAATAGTAATTCTAGCATCGGACCGATAGATATATTAACGACAGGTGTAACGACGAGACTGCAGCGTGAGCAGCAACAAAAGACCCAAGAGAATCCCCAAAATAATTCAACATCAACAACTACCTCGTCCACAACAACTACGACGAATACACTGACAACAACAACAACAACATCCAGCACACCTAGTTCCTCACAAACGAGTACATCGGTACCAACAAGTAGTAGTAGTACAGCGAGTGATTCGGGAATAGTGACAACCGCTGCCTCCGTCCAGAGTACGACGACATCGACAACAAATGTATTAACAACGTCAACGTCGAGCGCCAAAGAGGCGAGAGAAGCTAACAAGGAGAATAAAGAGAATAAGAATGATACCAAGGAATCTGTTGTTAAGGACCTCAAGGAGGAGCCCAGTGGGGACTCAACCACGGGGAAGGACACTAAATCGTAAGTTTATTTATTTTTTACAGATAATTTATCAGAGCTCCACTAAAAGCAGATGGTTTAAACGACGAAAAATTAGATTTTCCTTATTAACTCTGATGAAATGCTTTTACCATGACTATTCATTTTTAATTTCGAAAGGGCAGCAGTATAATTTTGCATTTTATTCAGTTAAAAATCAGCTGGGAATTACATTAAAATTAGATTAATCATCATTGCACGTCTCAACGATTTTCACATAAACTTTGCACTTACAAATGTTTAATTCATCGGTAAATGCATTACGATTTGCGTTTACGTGAAATCTCGGTCCCAGCTTGATTTGCAATCATCATATTTGAGAACGGATTTGGTAATATTCAAAATATATATTCCGCCGATTAATATCCTTAATAGAATTATGTCTGTATAGCAATCCAATTTTCCTCATGGAAGTTGAGAAATCATACATCGATTGACTGGTTCCATTTTAATTGGCACAAAAGTGCGTCGAGATTGGTTGAACCGCGTGACCAACCACCGGAAGATAATCATTGTTCAAACAACCCGCTCAATTCCTCTATCTCCCTTCAGTCTCTCCCCCTCATCGTTTTCACAGTCACAGACCCCCAGGAACACACATATTCCCTCTTTCATTTCGGTTATCCATTTAACGATTGCATTACTCAAACCCGTGGGTACATTGTAATGAAATGAGGGAAAAAATCACTTTAGTATTCCAATCGATGCAGTTAAATCCAGGAACGTGGATGAGATTCAAGTGGATCGCATAGAAATTGATGGAAAATATATGAATTTAAGATGATCGGTCGTCAGGATGATTGTAATGGGAATCGATGGATAGTTGCTGAAGGGTGGAATTCGTGTTTGCTCAGTTATCCACTCGTCGTTCATCATCTTGATTAACCTTAGGTTCTACAATCTCATTGTCATCAGTCGTTACTCTAATTTCACTCATTTATCAATATTTGAACCCCAGTGTTGTGAATAAATTTAAGGGAATCATTGCCAAATATCTTGCTGACTCAAACAATTTCTATAAATAAATTTCAATATCTCTCCATTTTGTATGGCATTAAGAGAAAATAGGTGCATTGTTTGTTTAAACCTTGGAGCTTCGAAAATTCATTTCTGATTTTAAACGATTATAAAACACTGACAAAAAATTCGAAAAACAGAACGACTTCAACGAGAAATCAAATTCATTTCCAAGCACAAGAGTTCCATCAATTTCAAACCTTTATTTATACGGATTAAATATTGAAAAAAAAAATTAATTTCCTAGATTTAATGCCGCTGGGGCAATTTTATTCGGCCCAATTCTATTAGTAATCGCACACGCAAACGGGTTCATCCAATCCCATTGAATTCAGCCACATTGAATTTCCGATAAACTGTTGCAAATTTAGCAATTAAAAGAGTTAAATATTCTACCAATAGTTTTTGAACTTTTGAGTTAACAAATCGAATGCTCTATTCACTGAACAAAGCGTTTTTTTTCTCCAAATTTGAACTTTTAGATAAAAAATATATTTATTTCATTACAGAACGGAAAGTTCAGGTGGTAATTCATGCGTGAGTGTTGTGGGTGCAAACGAAACAGTGATGCAAACATCAGAACCGAAGGAGAAGAAGAAGCAAGCAGCTGTAGCAGCGTCGAATGTCACGACTAGCAGAACAAAGGACAAAAAGAAGGAAAATCATGCAACACCCATGGAAACGAGTGACGAAGAGGCTCAGACGCTCGACCCAATCGGTAAGTCATTCATTGCTTCCATCAATTACTCCAATTCACTTGCCATCGCTGAAATATCAAATGTGGAAATGAAATTTCCACCGTCCAGAAAAAAATATTTCACGTTTCACGTAATCGTTCCCTGGGATTCGGTGTAATATTTATCAGAACAAGCAAACGTCAATATCGGTTGTCCCGCGTGATACAATTGAAATCATCAGGTTATCCCACGAATACGTTCATTGCAAGCCTGGCCGCATGTGCAATACATAGCTTGTGTTTTCTGTGGATTTTCACAACATTCAATCAACAATAATTGCCGAGTAACGAGAAAGTACTTGCCATAGGATATTGATTTCAAAATGTTGATACAATAGAGGAACAGTAGAGTAAATGGAAATTATTAAACGTTAATCAAATCTCCATTCAATTCAATTTAACAAATTGTACGTTGTCGCACTGGTTCACTTTATTGATTATTCTAAGTAATAATTGGTGTCCTTCACTAACGACAAGATATTTTGGCACTATAACATTTTTTTACTCAATAATAACACAGTTCAATACTGAGCTGTAATCAAAACCAGAATAAATACCTTCCGGGGAAAATATATGATATTTTCGCCGGAAATAGCGCATCCTTGCTCTAATTGAAGATTTATCGAGTTTCGGTTACTTAGTCACTTCAGTAACGAAGCGGTGATATGATGCTGGAAATGGTTGATGTCCATTTAGGCACAGCCTTTATTCTTGTGCAAATAGAATAGAATCTCTTCTCTTTCGTTTAAATCTTGAACCGTAAAAATCAAAACGTCCATCTCTCCGTTACATAGTTCACTATCGGAATTTGATTTTTGATTGAAAAATTCAACTAAAGCACTGTGTAATTCACGCTTGCCCCGTGTTACTCGTTGTCGGAATGCTCTGGCTATTCTCCCCCTCCGAGTTCCGCTCCGATTCGTTGGGGTGACACATTTTTTTGTGCTTGTGAACGAAGTAATAACTGGGAAATTTACTGCCACATATTTTGCAAGGATAATACTGCACATTGAGATCCAAAAGACGCACTTCCCTGCGTTTACCGTCTGCCCTCGTGTTTGCGTCGTTGTCAGTGGGTAGAAGGTGTCTTCTCGCGTGCTTTTTGTAGCAGTAGTGGGACTTGAAGGTGTGCTGACAGTATTCACAGGTGTAGCAGCCGTGACCACTGGATTCACCCACCGAATCCGAACTCCTGTCAGGTCTTCCGTTCTCGTCATTTTCACTCGCTGATTCGGGCCTCTCTGGTTGCGTTGGAGGTGGCGGGGGGTAGCTAGGAGGATCCTCCCCTGGAGTTGTGTAGTTTTCATTTAGGACCCGGTGAAACTTGACGGGCCCATCGCAGCAGGCAATGTCCAGGACAACCCCTGAGGCACTCGTTGAACTTTGCTCTGCGCTCGATCGAGAGGTTCGGCCACTGGGCCTCTGGTGAAGCGACTCGATCAGGGCTGAGGTCATTCCATCAGGTTCTTGCAGTTGCTGAATCGTTTTTGATGGTTCATTTTCATTTTTATCGGTTTCTTCTTTGTGGCTCTCTGCTGATTTCGTCGGTTCTTTCTTCTCTCTCTTTGATGGAGGACTTTTTGATCTTGGATGGGACCTCTTTGAATGTCTTCTCGGTGGAGACGTCGTGGCTCGCGGTGACGGTGAATTTCGTCTGGAGAAATAAAGTCGAGTCATGTATCGATTGATGAATTCTAGAATACACGACTCAAAAAAAAAATTGCCCCGGGCAGTTCAAAATTAATTGTGACGCAGTAAACCGGATTTCATTTTAGGGAGCAATTCACGTATCTCTTTCTTCTTATTTACTGTTTGATTTGTATTTTTAGTTATCAAATACGTCCTCTTACTGTTATTGATTTATTTCGATTCAATCTTTTCAAAGAATACTTCGTTAAATTATCTAAACATCTGAAAATCCCCATTGACTAGTATTCACATGAATACAAAAATTATCCAACAAACCTGGTGGCAGCAGCTGAAGTCGTTGGTTCGTGAAGGACACTGGGAGCCTGTATAACTGGTAATCCAGGTGTTAACTGTAGATTAGGGAGATGAGTGAGACCGACGGTTGATGAGTAGAGGGTAGGTTGAGGCCAGCAAATTGGTGGTCCAACTAGTCTATTGGGAACTGGTCTGAGGACAGTTGTACTAGAATGAGCTGATGTGGATAAGTGTGGAGGAGGTGGAGGAGGGCCACGGAGTCTCAGGAGGGCTGCTCGACACTGCTCAAGGGCACCCGGCATGTGCAGCAAGTGGGTGGCCAACAGGACGCTGTAGATATTGTCCAGGGTAACCTCAAGACGTCCGGTGTACATGTAATTGAGGAGGGGAGCAAAGGCCTCACCACCTGATTGAAAATTATGATATCGTTAAGGGGGTATTTACCTGGGGCGTCAGGCATTCGAGGGGCTTGAACCTGCGGGTATTTACCGACTGAGGAGACTGACACTGATGTCACACTTCCTGGACCCTCTCCAGATGAGGATGAACTTCCGCTCGTAGCAAGGAGGGCTTTTAGGTAACCACTGTGAGCTGCCAGAACACCTCGGTGCGCTACAAATTGATGTTCACCCTCGTTACCCACACGTACCACAGTGTCTGGAGGTGACAGACTCTCCAAACGAGGATAACTCTCTTCCCCAAACCAGGCTCTGTACAAACTGTACATTTTCCTCGCGATTTTAATTCAAAACAGATTTTACACTATTTTATTCCTGTCTTCACGATCTCTTCTTCACTACAGGTGACTATTCACTACTATCACCCACACTTGGTTTGTCTTCTTCTTCGTTTTTCGGTAATAAGTTCATTATCACCAGTCATTACTGGAGAATTTCATTCGTGGAACTGCACGTTGAGGGGTTCTAACCAATTTGTTGGAGGAAAAATTCTCCGTTCTGTTGTTGGAAAATTAAGGTGATCTATCGAATTTTAGAAAGGGTTTTAGAACTTGCGAATGTGCTTAGGAGTGTCGCGATACTTTGACGTTTGTGATTTGAACGCCGGTAGTTGGAGGTGCACCAACGGGGGTAGATATTCGCGATATAGAAAATTTTCAACCCCACCGTTGCGCACCAGTTGGCCGCAAAAGCCGCGCGGTGGTTTTGCGGGTGAGAACTCCGCCCCCGATGATAGCAGATTGGCCCGTTGGTGTGACACGTGCCCCTCTGACTTGCTCGTACTTGACGACGCGATAGATATTTAACATTGTTCATCCTTATGATCTATGGTCACGTGATATGGTTCTCCCTCGATCCTCCCTTCCAAGAGCATTTGACTCCCAAAACAAAAAAAAATGAAATTTGCAATCCAAAGAACCATAGGATGCCAAAAAATATCGACACATGTAAGCGAATAAAATCCCCAGCGAATGAATTTCACCTGAACAAACACCCCTCCATTAACTCCAACATAAACGCACAGAAAAAAAAAATCTTGAGTGCTGAGGAAAAGGGAGGAAGAAACCTTAAAAAATCCATCTTCTCCCGTCCTGCCGTCTCTTACACCTCCCCATATTTTTTCATCAAATTAACTCAACATTTCCTGACGTTCTCTCGAAACCCCTCATCATCATTCCCCATCTTTCGTATGGTATTTGCATAATATCGTTTATAATTCAACTCTCGCTCAACTCATTGCCTCTTTATTCCTCGTTATGACGGTTACACCCAGTTATAGCATTCCTCCTCCCAGGATTTCAACTTTTCCTGGTGTAGACCCCTCCTTGCACCTCCACCCAATTTTCCAACTTGAAAGGGAAATTGAGCGATGCCCCTTCTTGCTCTTTCCAGCTCGACTCCTCAGCAAACATAAGAATATTTTCACTTCATACGTACATACCTCTTCCCACAATTTCTCTCTCACCTTCTTCCCATTTTCTCCGTCCCCTTGTCCCCCTCCATTATACCAACTCGAATCCTCAATATTTTTCCACTCAGCGATCTCCACTCGCCTCCATAAAATTCCCTCAGTGAATAATAAAATTCATCTCCATTGAATTATCAATAATCCCTCACATAAGACCTCGTATTTAGACATTCAATCTAGCGTGTAGAAACGGTAATGAGGGACATCCAATCGGACAGGTACACCCGCGTCGTCAGAGACGAGTGATTTATCATAGTATATGTATTTGTATTCCACGAATTGTCCTCGGGTTTATATACGCTTGTGCATTAGCCAATAAACAAACGCCAGTGAGGAAGCTGAATAGAACCCAGCGATTACGCACATTTCCCTGGGGACGATCCAGTGCTTCAAACATGCACCTTCCTCTCCTCTCCCGCCAATAATACCAGCATAAATACACTGTCGCCCTTTCCAGATAGCCCATAGCTATTACCAATGACAGCCTCAAGTCGCTCAATTGTTATTCCCCCATTCCAAAACAAAGGGACAATTCTGATCAATGGATTTACAGAGCGCCAGGACAGATTTACAAATAAACCTCTCCAAGACTCTTTCTTCACAACATCACGTACAAATGTCTTTATTTTTTTTCTTCTTTTTAACTCGTTTCATAGTTTCTCCATAGTCAGGGGGGTATAACAACTGGTGGAACAATCGAGGGATGAGGAGAGAGGAGATTCTGGAGAGAGAGCACACACAGGGATAAAGTGCCCGGGGGTTATCCAGCACTGGGGTACAGAACGCTCGGTTTAATGCCCCAGCGTTGAGACAAGCTGAGCAAACACTTTTCACGATATTACCAAAGAGAGAGTGGTGCTGGCCTTCCATCAGATTTTCCTCGATGAAAATGTTCTGTTTGGTGTTTTTTTTTCTTTGTAGATCATTTTTTCTCCTTATGAATTACGTTCAATCATGCTCCTGCGTAATTTATTGGGGGCTGAGGGAATTGGAATAGTTAGAATTTGGTCTAATGTTGGTTGGTTGGTTGGTCGGTCGATTTGTTGGTTTGTTGGTTTGTTGGTTCGTTAGAGAATTAGCGAAATGGTGAAATGAATTTTTAGTCTGTTTGAGAGGCTCATGGGGAGCTTCATAGTGTACTCTGGTGCAGTATTTAGCATGGGCATTTGGTAGGGATAAATATGGGAATTTCGGGAGGGAAGAGGAAACGTGGCAAATTGGTGGGAAGATTAAATGGAGCAGTGGACGGTGTAGGAGAGATGGTTTTGGCGTGAGGGGGAGGTGTAGACTGGGAAACGGACGAGCTAATTAGCGTCTTGATTTACTTAATCCCAATTAAAGCCCGGGCTAGAGCCCACACCAGTCTCCCTCGTGAGCCCTCCAACTTGCAATGCTTCGACTCACTCTAGCACCACGAATATCAACCCCTCAAAAAGCCGAGTCTCTCGTTCTATCTCTCGTTTTGCTGTTCTGGGTGCATTTCATGTACCTCTGGATTCGTCTACAGTGTTTCAGGGCGTAAATACCAGGTATACACGTGTTGGTACGTCATAAACCAGGGTAAATCCTGGTGCTAGCGTTTGGGGAAATTGAAGTCGTTTTATTTGGGTACAGTGGATTTTTTTTTATTTTTATTGTCTCAATTGAAAAGTGGAATTTCTGGAAAATTTATGTTGTAAAGGCGAAGATTGTGGAGTTAATTGGCATTCGATGGAGAATCATTCGATAAAATTGAATATCAAATAAAATCATTAATTTCTGTGCGATAGAATGAGTACAATTTCTGATTCAAATTGCACTTATAGTCGAAATTGCCGAATATTGACCATGCATTGTGGCATTGTCCTCTACATTCACAATTGTACTCTCCCTACACTACCAAAAAATTTATTGATGTCTGGCATTTGAAAAATGTAGAACAAATAGGTAATTTCGATTCGATTATCAGAAATGATCGAAATAGGTAATTTATCGATTTGATTTTGCTATTGATGGAACGAATAGCTCAACTGAATTAATGTTAATTAAAAATAAACGGTTGCGGGAATTTACCTCGCTAATTGACAGATGTTATTTGAGTATTAACCGAACACGTGTATGATGGGAAAGCGTAGGCAATCAAACGTTAGAGCATTGTCCAACGATCATCAAACTATGCAATGTCCAATCTCGCCTACACATGGACGGCTTGTGACACTCCAAACTCATTTTCAATCTCAATATTCATCGTTATGAATGAATCAATTATTTCTGCCTTTGGAGTGGAACATGGACCGAGGATTTACAGGGCGATGCTCATTCAAAATTGAGTTGGGAGTTAACTTTTATTAACTCAAACCCATTACTAATTGTGCCAGAACGTTAATTGACAGGCATAACGTGGTTTTCAGTCGATGTTTGAAATTTCGCATATTTATTTATCGTGATACTCTTTGATTTATCATTTTTAATCCGGTGATGATAACCAATTAATATCAATACTTCACATTTCCATTTTTTCATTTCAGTTCCCATATCCGTCACTTTAATTAAAATCTACAACATCAGAGATTGCGAAAAATCATTTATTTACCCTGTCTCACTGAAATTACCTCGAAAAAGCCTGAAAACGCATATTTACATTTAATCATTTTCCCCGTGCGCTGACGGAGTGCAAATCTCATAAATATATAAATACCAAAAAAGGGATCGATTCTCATACATCAAATTTACGGTTCCACTGTTTTCCGAGAGAAATACAAAAAAAAAATGGAGGGGAGTCCCTCGCAGGCAAACGCTCAATTCACTTAACAACTCAGCATTGCCTTATTTGCGACTCCGCTGTTGCATTATGTTTCGCGAAACCCCACTTGTTTCACATCATACAAGAGAATCAAAGGGAATATTTTATTGGAAAATGGGCGGAGGGAGTGGAGTCCCACTCGCCAAACTCTCCACCCAACTGGAATCGCCAATTACCAACGACTAATCCTCACGCTTTTACCACTGGTAATTAGTGAAAATTTTCACTTCTGTTGAATTTTCTGCAGAGTCTTGTTATGCTGGTGGATTTTGTTTGGATATCATTCATATTCGTGAATTGAAAATAACGGACGATTGGTAGCGCTGAATGAAAAAAAAAATAAGAAAACACGTTTATTTGGTGGTGGAGCTTGCACAATTTAAAAAAACTCAGTCATTAAATTTTTCCCTCTGATGGGGCAAATTTTGTTGATTAATTAACGAAGGGCTCTTGGCGTAAAGTCGATGTTTCGACGATACAGTATACTCAAAGGCTGGTTAAATTCTCCACTCCTACTTTATAAAACATTCAGAGCAGTGGTGGGTTTTCTACCATCATTTCCCCCTCCGATTTCCCTCTTTTAGGACCTGCTTTTTACCTCTACGCGCACTCAACGGTGCTAGCTTAATTAGTACAATCTCCCAGTGCATTTCGCTTCATCCATTTAGGCCCTTAACAACCTTCATTTTTTTACAAAAAAACCTTCTTTGTTTCATCGTTGGCGGCATATTGGAGATTTTCAACTCAAGGAGACTGTTTCAGGGTATCAAACTAGCTTATTCCCGCGGCAATTCCTCAAGGAATTATCACACCTGAATTTCAGTAGTCAAAAATTTTTTTCAATACGTAATTGATGACATAAAAATTCTTCAATAGATAGATCGCTTGAAATACCGAGGATTCGATAACATTCCGTTTGTGAAGTTGTGAATCATTAGAAATTTACCATTAAATTTTAATTGGAAAATTTCAAAATTGAGAATAATATTCCGGCAACAGCTTCAAAATTAACTGAACTGTTGGTTCTGGTTTCCTGAAAATTAGGGAATCAATGAATTATTCGGATATGAGTCGTCGAATCTCATTTGTTAACTCATTAATATTCATGACATTTATTTTCTCTAAAACTGGCCAATTTCCGGGAAATCGATAAATGCAGATAGAATAAATGTTTTTTGATTGTAAATGGATATCGTGATCCCAGGGGTGAGTCGAACCAAACTGTCAATTATTGTTTGATCCTGGTATCACACTCGTTTACTCATTTCACTGTCCCACGATGGGATTTTCACGTTTTTCCCTTATCCACTGTGGTCCATGCACCCGTGGCCCCATACGTGTCATTCAATTACAACTACCGACTTACAAATGTCGATTATTCAACCGTCAATCTGCCCGACTAGAAAGAACAAAAAAAAATTTTAGACTATAGCTGCGCCGTTATTTCATTCTTCATTGACGTATTTGACTTTTGTGAAGGCAATTTGCAATTCAAAAACTTGAGGAATTTAATTACAACGGTAATTACTGATTGCAAGAAGGGACTTAAACGATTGAGGCGAAATTATTCTGTGGAAAAGTGAATATTTCGTATTCTCTCTCTACTCATTTTTCCCTCAGGTTCATGCACAAAAACCAGTACAGTTAGCGAACTTTTTAATTGGCTACCCTTAATTAGTTAGCCAACGAGTATCTCCATAATTATTCTGTTTCTACGCTCGTTTTATACAAATTCCCAACCCCTCGACTCTTTTTATTTTTATTTTATTATTCTGAGTTATCTCTTTTAATTTGATAATACCGGGTATTTGTCACTGGTATCACGCTTTTGCACCGGGGCTTACCCTAGGGCCCGAAAATTCTAACAGTACAATTCGTTACTTCTAAAAAAATTCTCCACTGCTAGTTTAGAATCGAACAAATTTTCGAACGAATTCGTTAATTTAAATTTATTAAAATTAATTAAAAAATCAAGTCAGTGTAATTATCACTCCTGCAACGAAATTTTACAATTATTTCAAAATATCCAAAAAAATTGAGGATCCATTGAATCCATTGAGGCTGGACTCACATTTTGTAGTATTGAAAAATTATTATGGGACATATTTAAATGGACAATCTCCATTGATGGATGAAAAAAAAATGTTTGGTGTCATATCCACGAGGCGTTTCAAGATCATCGCGGCAGTTAAGAGAGTCCCCCGCGTTTTTCATATGTCAATTTGATTTTTATCACTGCACGGAGAGCTCTATTGCGTGACGTCGAGCACTCTTCTGCACATGTGAAAAAAACTATCATTTTTATAAAGGAAATGAAAACAATTTAATGGATATTTATCCATATGGGTGGGATGGTCGGCGAACAGCGATTGCATTTTAAAGTGCAGAAGCCAACGTGCGACAGGTATATGATGCCTGTGCATATGGGGCTATGGCACTTTATTAAATTGCGACTTTGTTACAGTAGGCATTGCTGAGGATTTGTATTATTTTTGTTTCATTTGGCATTCCATGGGTATTATAACCACTGAGTTTTCATTTATGAAAAGAAGAGTTAATAAAAAAAATGAGAGTATCAGAATATTGAGGGCTTCATAATCATCTGAACCAAAATTAGAAATCTTTGAATGTCTTATTAATGAAGTTACAAGATGGTGAAAATAGTATTATCTGATAAGATTCGTGACCTCTACTAAGACCTGATTAATTATTGATTGAAACTTGAATAAACCCTACGGCAAGGAACTCCGAGAAATAAGACAAAGTAACACCAAGAAATAGTAGATACTATTTATGAGAGAATATAAGGATGGAGTTGTTTAAACAGTGTTTTAATTGTGTTTTAGAGAGTGGGAGACAACTGGGTCCTCATGCTTGTGCAATATGCCAAAATGTGGTAGAGGGTGGCAGCCAGTCGCGTGCGTTGTCACGCAGTCAGGCGTCCCAATATGGTCTGAGGGAGGATCAGGTACAGCCTGGTGCACGTGTATGCAACACATGCAGGTGCAAAGCTGTGCGTGGTCGTTACACTGCCTGTCCACTTCCGGGCTGTCCAAATGTCAATAATGCCAATAACAAGACGAGAGTTAAAAGACTCAGGGCACTGCCACCTAAATGGATGGAATTACCCCCGGAGATACGAGATCCCGTTATTCAAGAATTTCAAATACCAAACAATGCCACTAAATGCTGTTCAGCCTGTTTCAATCGAATATCTCGCCGTTTGGCCCCTCACCTGTCTGGTGGGGCTGATGCTACTGATGAAGCATCTGAATCGATAGCACGACAATGGACAGATGACGAGCTGAAGCTATTCAGGCGTGCCCTTCGTGAGCACGGCACTAATTGGCCAAAAGTATCCGAACAAATAGCTGGCAAATCGAATCACCAGTGCAAGAATTATTACCTGACGTATCGTAAGAAATTGGGATTGGATCAAGTGGTGGCTGAGTACTATCAGTCATTGGGTGAGGAGAGGAGGCCGTGTTTGACGGACGAGGAGGAGAGCGGTAGTAGTACAAGTAGCTGTGACGAAATGGCTGTGCATGATTCGAGTGATACTGCTAGTGCGGGTAGTCCTGCTAATACAATATCGAGCAGCACACCTGGTTCCATGGGACCATCCACCGCCACTGGAACTATCAAAAGCAGTTCATTCCCACAGGAAAATACTGCGGATATCAGAATTTCACTTGTTCCACCTACGCCTGCAACCTCTGGCCCACAGCAACCCACCACTGCTGGTGGCCACACTACCAATAATCGAGAGGATTATGACAGTTCTGCTACGGTAAGTATCGTTCATATCTCATATCTCATATCTCACTCTCTGTCCCTCTTGGATTGGTTCATTGAATTTTTATGCTTTCTAAACTCTCGAGTTGAATTCGTCAACTCAGATAAATGCAGCCTTAGACAAAAAAAAAAATTCTATTCAAATTCAGGAGCCGATGTAGAATTTTTGGGTTCATGAAAAATCGTCCGTCTTGATTTTCGGGATATCCAGCAATAAAGGAATAAAGCATTCGGGGTTGGATTGGTCAAATTAGTAGTCGAATTATCTTTTTAAATATCGTGACCAGCATATTTATGCAGCAACTTGTCAGTTTTTCACAACAATGTTGCAATCTAATTTCTTTTTAAGAACAATCGCTGAAGACAAATAATAGATTACGAATGGGTGAATATTTGTTTCTTGGAATGCATTTATTGATAAAAAACTAGAATATTGAAATATTCATGATGATTTTATTTGTAGCAGAACTTGGAAAAATTTGATGAAAATGAATTTTTTACTCAAATATTGAGGCTCCTACACCCTTGTCTAGTATTTTCCAAACTGACTACTCATCATTTAATCTGCCTATTCTGGCCGTTGGCCTCTAGAATTCCCATATCCTCTTCAAAAAATATTTTTTATTCATTAGAACGCTATGAATAATTCATCTGCTTATTTTGAAACACTCAAACACAACATTGATTATTTATTTTTGATAACGAATGATCAAACCTATAAATACCTAATTTTCATATTATTAATCTACCAATTTTAAAACACAACACACTAAGTTATTATCAATTGTACAATTCATCGATATGCTCATTAGGAATCGGGTTTTTTCGCGAACATTTCACAATTTTTCTTTTTCGAAGTTTGACTTTTATTTTCGGCCTTACCTTGATAGATATTTCTATTGGTAATTGTTCCAGGAGACGGCGGACGAGGGTCAGGGTGGGGCAGACGTGGAAAATGCAAATTCAACAGCACCATCGACAACAACAACAACAAGCACAAGTACGATATTACAATCACAAACGGCCTCACAATTGCAACAATCGACGCAACGCGAACAACCACCACCAGGACACTCACCACCCTCAACGAGCAATGCCAATCCCCTCACTGTCAAGGATCTCATGTTCGATGTTATTGAGATGCAGCTCAAACGGAATCCCAACAGTACGTCGACGAGCTCAGTAACACCCACGATATCCAGTATTCTAAAGACAGATCACAGAAACGATATCACATTTGTTCGTGAATATAAGCCATCGTCGAGTTTACCCTCTACTGCCATGTCCAATAGGGACTCGAATTTGGCAACACTGTCAGTCGTTTCTGTACCTCATCATACTCACAGATCAGCCCCGAGTCCTCAACAAATTGGTAAGCAATATATTCCCTACTTTCATTACAAAAAAACACTAAAAGTTTCAATTAAATATTAAAATTTCTATTTCGGGCCTGTGGTATTATTTTTTCAACTCAAAAAATTCTCAATTTAATAATTCTCACAACAATTTCAATAAATTATTCACAAGAACGGACTACTATGAATTCCTAGATTGGGTAGAATGATAGATTAGGTGAACGAAAAATAATGACGAGTATTCCTGAAACCCGATGGAAAAATTCTTTTGTTCTCCAGGTCAAATGCAGGCGACAATAACACCAATGCCCCCAGTTCCAGCACCGAATCAGCCCCCTTCAGCGGATCTCCTGCCGAAGGAAGGTCTGGTGGTGATGCAGGTCCAGCAGGCCCTCCGAGAGACCGAGGGTACCCTAGATCTCAGCATAAAGAAGCCCCGCCAACAGCCGTCACTCCCTCTCCAATCTCAGCCCCAACCCCAAGAGTACAATCACACCCTGCAACCTCCTCACAAGGCGCCACAAATGACGATGTATCGTCCGGAACCTCCTCCAGGTGCTTACTATCACCCACACGCTCATGAGCAAGGTCGAGGTGCGAAGAGCCCTCTCGTATACACCTCATCCCCGCGCCCTCAGGCCCCAATTACTCCCAAGATGAACAAGGTTACAGTGCCCTCACCTCACCCCAAGCTATCTCCAAAACTGGCAAACATGAGTACCCCCCACAAAGGTGGTTCCATAACCCATGGAACTCCAGTCTCCGGTGCCAGATACGAAGGGCTTCTTCGTCAGATGACACCTCCAGGCACAGCATCAGCATCGGCAAATACTCCGGCCCCCAAAGAGTCTGGCTCCATCACCCAGGGAACCCCAGTTCATCCATTCACCGTTGAAAAACGCTCACTGTACGATTCCCATCGTCCTATCAGACATTCACCAGCGACAACGATTGCCCCACCCCAGAGCCCTAACCAGGGAGTTGTTGTCACCCACAGCAATTACAATTCCTACTCTGCGAGACCACCACCGAGTTATACTATGGAGCAGCAGCTCTCCTCCCGTCAGATCATCATGAATGACTACATAACGAGTCAGCAGATGCACCAGCGAAAAGGCACAACAGCCAGCAACGAGAGCTCCAGTAAAACCGAACCACCACCAGGTACTCTCTACTACACGAGTACTCCACCACCTCCTACGCCACCTCAATCTCACACCCAGCAACGGCAGGGTGTTATCCATAGGCACAATCCCCAGAAGCAGATTCATTATCATCCGCCACCAGCGGGGCTCGAGGCTTTCTCAAGTTTAGTTGACGTTGCTGTACAGCAGCCCAGTTTGCCTGTACCTCATCCACATGGACATCCACCCTCAGGGAGTAGTCACGAGGGTCTTGGTAAGACGATGGCTGATCGATTGCTCGCTGACAGGTATGTGGATAATAATCGGGCCTATCGAGAGCAAGACTTGAGGAGACAGAGGTTGGCGATGGAAATGGCAGCTTGTCATCAGCGGCAATTGGATAGGGAGAGGGATTTTCATCGTCAGGAAAAGGAATACAGAATGCAGAAGGAGAGGGAGGAGCTGCAACTGTTGGAGCACAGATTGGCTGTGCAGCATCATCAGAGGGAGAAGGATATGCAACAAGAGAGGATAGACAGGGAGAAGCAATTGCAGCATGAGCACATGATGCAGCAGAGGGAGAAAGAGGAGAGGCTAAGAGAGCAGGAGATGCAACACCAGAGGGAACAGATTGCTGCACATCAGAGGGAGAAGGAGCATCAGGAACACAGGATGGCACAGCAGAGAGAGAAGGAGATTCAACATCAGAGAGAACAGCTTGCTGTGCATCAGAGGGAGAAGGATATGCGCGAAAAACAGGAGCACAGGATGGCGGTTCACAGAGAAAGAGAAATAGCGCATCTTCATCAACAGCAGAGGATGCAGGAACAACAGCAGATGCAACAGCACATTCTGGGACAGAGGATGGAGGCTGAGAGGAGGCACATGGCACAGATCTTTAGAGATCAGCAGCATCAACATATTGATAGGGAGTCGGGAAGACTTCTCAGCAGTGGGTTCTCACAGTCATCGAGACCTCAGCAGCCACCTCCGCCACCTCCTCCCCAGCAAACGTCAGCCTCGTCGAGGCCTAGTCCTGCTTCTTCGAACTCACAATCTGGGGAGAATTCAACACTCACCGCTGCCAGTTTGATCGATGCCATTATCACTCATCAAATTAACCAGAGTTTTAAGAGCACTAGTGGAGCACCTACTGCTAATAATCAACCTACGAGACCGGGTGATAGGTTATTCCAGGGATTCCATCGAGATAATCCAGCAGAGCCCAATGGTGTTGCCCACAGTCCAGCTGCTGAGAGTTCTGGTGGTAATAGTGGACCACCCAGTGAACCACTAAGGGATGGAAAATCAATTACTCTTGGTGAACACGTGGAGCACATCGTCACGAAGGATTTTTGCCCACCACATGCGTCTTACCGTTCGTACCCAGGTTATCCCCTGGCAGACGATCAATGGAAGCGTCGTGATCCCGAGGCAGAGTCTGGCAAACCTGGCGATGAGCGTCAAATAATTCGTGTATCCCAGGGACAACAGCAGTCTCAGGTCCCTCAACAGGCTCAACAACCACCAACATCAGTTGCCAAACAGTTTCATAGTGTTGAACCAGTTTCGCCGCCAGAGGCAACGCAGAATCATTATGCCAGACGATTCTATGAGTCCGCCACAGCCACAACGACATCAGCTACACCACCCAAGCCTCACTTGTCCCCTTTAGATTACGTAAAGAATAAAATAGTTGAGGTTATGAGGACCTCTGAGGACGACAAAACAACTGGCAGTGGGGAGAGAAACAGTGGCAATGGAACAGCTGATAAGGATGACAAACCTGCTGAGAGCCCCTCTGGTGAGATGGTCATCGACGAGAGTCCAAATCCACCCACTCAACAACCACCACCAGCACCTACAACATTCTATCCATTCAGTGCACTGGGAGTTCACACAGGACCACCTCCAGCACCACCTCCACCCACTTCGGGCTCAACAACTGTAACAAAATCTGAACAGCTCGAGCCAGCACCACATCTCTCAGCTCAGTACGAACCACTCTCCGATGAGGATTGATCGACCACCTGGAGTCATCCGCATCCCTGATGTCTCGCTGTCTAGTGACTTGCTTCGGAATATTTTTTTTTATTAATCTTTCACGTGTCTCTTTATTAAGGAGGGAATTGTTCATGAAGACAATTCTGCCTCGCTCTTTTTTATCATCATTTTTGCGTGAATTGCAATGCTAACGAACTTTAGAAAAATTTATGATTTTAGAAATTTAACCTGTACATGGTTTTTATCTCAGTTTCGAGACGTCATTCCAGTTGACTCTGCACTTTTTTTTACTATGAATTTTATGGAAATTGTAACATTTTTTTTGTGAAAATTTCGTTGGGAATGATAAAGTGCGTGAATTATTAAAAATCAGAGTCATTCCTTATATATTTTTTGTTTTGTATTGAGGAAGATTGTAGGATGGACAAGTCCAATGGGAGGATGAACATTGATGTGGATAAAGAGATTTAATGAAATTAACAAAAATGCCGGCTTTCTAGTGCATGGCATCGACGCTTATTTGCAATTGCCCGATGGACAACTTGAATTCATGAATTATTGATCAACAGTGGGGGTTGATGATGATATATTTGATTTTTCGTGTTTTGTGCAAAATGAATGGTAATCATTTTTTCTTTTGTATATATTATAAATGGATAATCGTTAAGACGACGAAAGAATGGTACGACGTTAAAGGTGTGTGTGTTTTTATTTAGAATGAGTCTGTGATGAGTACCGGTGTGAGATATTAAAATAAATACCGTGTTTTCGAGTCCATCTGAAAGACACTTCGGTGGGAAGAGAAAAATAAAACGGTTTGCAACACGCTTCTGAGATAGAAAGAGAGAAAGAAAAAGAGAGACCTCGTACTATCGTATGGTGAATTAACGTCTATGAAAAGAAAATCATCCCTTTCCTGTTCAATTATTTTTCCTTTTTTGTCGGGTAAAAGTGATTGATGAATTTGTAACATGTAAGCGTTGTATATAGTACATAATATTTACATTTTAAGACGAGCAAGTAATTATATGATTACTAGATTATATTAATAACGATAAGTGACTAGAAGTTTTTAGTATATAAAATGAAAAAAATTTAGGTAGCATTATAGAAGGTAGAAATTAAAAAAACAAATAAAAATAACAAAGTAATTCACGAACTGACTAGGGAACTTCTCTCAAGACTACGTTCTCTTCATGATGAAAATAAATAATGAAAAACGACAAATTGCAGATACAACCAATTATGAAAAGATTAATAATAATAATATGAATTATCAATGAAAGAATGGATGTGGATTTTATTTGACTCATTAAATTAATTAGAAACTTCTGATTTTCCTCTTTTATTTTCAGATGATAAAATATACATTTTTTTCTATGCTCATGTGTACTCACATTAGTTTAACAAATGGATTATGAAAGCACTCACTTTTTTATACAGCCTAATTTTATATTTGTACGTGAACTTGAATTGCTGAAGACATGCGCCTCAAGTCGTCGTTATTATCGGCTTTAAATCATCCGAATGGGATACGATAGAACGAGGGAAATTGTAAAGATCATTTTTTCAATAATCCAATTGTCGTTTTTTCACCTCTTTAGCTTATTTCCTTTTGTAATTACGAATTGTGTCAATCGCTGGATCATTTCGAATTCGAACACAAGGAGACCGGTGCCTTTCAAGATGTATTATCCTCGAATAAATAATATGTGTATCGTGAAAACCAATTCTTCTTCCTGCTCGAATTCACTCAGTAATTTTTAATGCGCGTATCGATATTTACGTTTTTTCACCTGACAATTGCCCGCCCTCATTATTAATTATGGATAAAATTATCAATACGTGTATTTAATCATTTTTACGAACTGACGAGCTTACGACTCCACAATTCAATAGCCCCGAAACCTGAATGATAAAACATTCTCAATGTTCGGTTAAAAGTATTGTCTTCAATCTGGCAGGAATAAATTTTGTGGGGGTGGGGCAGAATGGAGATTGATGATCTTTCAACAATTTATTATTTCTTCGATCTTTGGTCATCTTATTCTAACAATTTCCTCTTTGATTGATGTAATCTGGCCTGAAAAAGGATAAACCGTGCTTCTCGAAAATATTCATTACTCAGTAACAAATTCAATACTTGAGTTCATAAAAAATTCATGCACATGAAGTGATAAAATAGAATCAGTTAATTTCACTGGAGATTAGGCCTTGGAAAACATCGCTGAATTGAACAATAAGCCGATGACGTACGGGCCGTGCATGAACACACATTACTTATTGTTAGACGATTCAGTGAATAGAAAAGTATTTTAGAAAACGGTTTCCTTAATTAATTCTCAACAGGTAATTCTTCAAAAATTTAATCTATTCTCCCCTGATTCAAAGAGCTTTAACGATAACTCCATAGTTTCACCACTTCATAAATTGATTGAGCGATTCGGTAAGAGAAAACCGACAAGTTTTGAAAAACGAAATAATTTTTCTCTGCATGAATAAGCCCAGATATCCATCTCCCGTCATCGTGGTCCTTTCAATCACCTCAGATAACATATAATAAGAGGACAAGAAAAGAAAATGCTATCACTGCTACTGCTCCAAACGAGATAAACGAAAAAAAGCTGCAAATTAAGAACAAGAACCTAGACTAGAGAGACGTGATTGTAAAACAAATGTACCTATTCTGATAAAAATCAAGCCTGAACGAAAGATTGAGTCAATGCTCAATCATGAAACCGTGGAAAACAAAGGCTGTATTATACATAAAGAAAATGAATAAACACTAATTGAATAAAACTGAGATAAAATAATACCGAGGCACTCGTCCCCTCACTTGAAAATAATGGAAAAAAGTAAATCAATTGAATTGTATTATAGACAAAATTGAATGATGAATAAATGACGAAGCTGGGAAACGATAATTATAACGGATGAATTACACTACTGATTAAACGAATGGATAAAATAAATTACAACTAATAGCGAGCGAGCGCATACCATGCCTACAGTAAATAAAAAAAAATACAAGTGTAGCATACACGATAATACTATTATCGATAAAAAAAAACAATTCAATGTAAATTGTTATTTTTGTTGAAATAAAATCACCTCCGTTATGACAGCGTTCGTTGAGTAACTGGAATTTACACGTTTTCTATAAGACATTTTTTTTATTTACAAAAAAATACAAAAATCATTTGATAATTGTGGTAATCACTGAGATCACGAGCACATGGCTCTTGCGCGAATCATTCGTTCCCTGGCGGCTTTGAACTGCTCAAGAACATTATTAACATTATTTATTAACGTCCCAGCTGATAATCTGTCCAGGGTAACCCTTGAAATTCTAGGATTCTTAGAGAAATCACGGCATTGCTGCACGATATTCATCTGCAAATCGATGAATCCCCCTGGAACGACTTTTAACTGTGATTTATTGATGATCGGACCGTTTTCACCTTGAGGAATTCCGGAGTAGGTGAGATCCTCCAATTCTGCTGTTCCTCCGGTGAAAAAACGCCGCAGGGTATTTATAAAACCAGCCACAGGGCGCCAGGTCGTCAATTCGTAGGTGAATTTGCCTGGAGACGGAGGCAAGGGTTGAGATGCATATCCTTCGATTCTGTATCTGAAACAGGTAAATTGAAAATTTAGTATGGGACAAAATGAAAGACTAGTTTTAGTATTTACCTGGTCCATTTATCGAGTGATGCAGCAGCAATGAGTACCTGCGGCCATGCAGGCCTCACATTTTCATCATCCAAGCAGTTCAAATCGAAATCAAGTGTCATTTCGACAACAAAGCTAAAATTAGCACTACCGTTCATCATTCTGCACCTCTGGGTTCTCCCTGATAATTTATCTCCGTCATTTGTGCTCCAATATTTGGGCAGATCAATCAAATAAGTGAGGAACAGGGCGTCGTAGGGAAACCCTTTGGCTTTTGTAATATCCAACGTCAGATACACTCGGAGTACGTGAGGGGGTGGTAAGTGCATTTCGGAGAACATTTCAGCTTCTTTATATAGTAATTTCTCGTGGAATTCCTGTCAATAAGTTCAAATCAAATGTCTCAGATTAATATCACTCAAGCCTTGAGATAAAATTCTTTTCTTTTGTAAATATCGCATGATCTATATAATTGCTTCTAAAGTTTTGAAGGTACCAGTTTTAAAATTACTATTGCGCCAGTAAAATCGTGTCATTTGAAGGAGGGAAAATGGTCAATGAAAGTTCATTCATTTATTTTTAATCTGCCAATATTATTTTAAGCTGGTAAAAATCAATTGTCGGGGAAATGTAAAAGGTGACACTTGAATTCCGCATAAATATTTCAAACGCGACGACAATGATACCCACGTGCGTAATTATACAATCAATACCGAAAACAAATGCGCATAACGGAGGCACAACATTATCAGGGTTATTTATGCATTGTTTTTCCTGTACACGACAAATCATGCAACAGGGGATAATTATAATAAAGCGGCTCGTGATAGGCGTGCGCGCCACGCGTTTAACTTTCTCATATCTCTGGTTGTGTTCAATTCTGTGTGGGAAGAAAAGTTGATTTCAGTTACCTACAGACCGCAGTTGTGAAGTGAGCGTACACCACAAGTAGAAATAATAAGTACTTCATACGCAAGTTAACATGTGCGCAATGGAAGTTTATCAGCGGCATTCCTTCTTGTGCTAGTCACACGTTTCAATTTTGCTCCCAAGAAAAGTTTGGAAATTTATTCGTGTGCAGCGTAAATAATATTTATAATCCTCTGTTTTAAATTGTGATGAAAAAACCGTCAATCAGTGGATTAATTAATTGAGGGTATTAAAAAGGATCAGTGAGGAATTCAAATTGCTGTCATGTTTCACGTGAAGATGATGCGACAAATTTCAGAAATTTCTTACGTGGGGTAAGTTGTCTATAAAATTTATCCGAGTAGACTTACTACTACCACTATCATTACTGCCATTTATCCACTGCAAATGGTGATAATTACTGTCTCTCAATAATGAGCGCAAAATATGAATAATTGACGTATTTTAAATCGAAATTATTAGCAGCGGTTTTGATGGGAATTTTTCTCGGTAAATTCCGCATTTTTCTAAAGCTTTAATTCCTAATCAAAGTAATTCGTAAAAAAATCAAAGTTCTGAAAACCGGGTCTTGCGCCATTTCCTTCATAGTGACCCACAATTACGTGTTATTGCTGAGTTATCAGTACTCGACCCTATCTTATCGCGATTAAGATTATTGGATTACTCACGTGATGCAGTAGTTCTCTCTGCATCTGAACCTCGTCCTCGGTCTGCCCTTCGGATGCATGTTCGATCCAGAAGTCATAGCTCATACCAGTGGCATGAGCTTTGTAGCACTCGTCGTCGTTGAAGTCAGGATCGATAGTCAGAATTTTTCCAGCCTCGTTGTAAGTTATCGTGCATAAGAGAGTTTCCGAGTCCTCTGAGGAGCCAAGGGCTTCATCCTTGGAGGTGAGGTCTGCCATGATGTACATCGTCCTTTTATCTCTGTACAGATAATGATTCGACCTGATGGTGTTCGTTGAAGGGGTCGACTCGATGATCTTCTTGTTGTAGCGCTCGCTGAATGGCTTTCGATTTCTTATCGCTGGAAGAGCAGTCTCATTCTTCAAGGATAGATAAGATTTGTATCCCTCCTTCGTAACTGGAGTTGCCTGTCGAAAATAGGAGTCATCCTCTGTGTAGGAGAACAATCTTGAGCTTTCGATCTCATCTTTCTGGATTTTCTCTCGATACTTCTTGTGAATTTCAATTATGCAGTTCCTCTCCTCCTTGTACAGATTTACTTCGAAGGGACTCAGGACTTTTTCCTGCCAGGAGAACGTTCTCCCCTCGGATTCCAAAAAATTCGAGTCCCTAGTCTCGGCTTCCGACTCGAATAATTCAGCCAGAAGAGACTTCTGTTGCACGATCCTCACTCTTAAAAAAAAGTGAAGTTTAAGAAATAGAATTCTTCCGATTGAATTCAACTACTATAGATTGAGAAATTTAAGATTTTTTTTCTCTATTTAAAAAAGGGGATCAAAATAAACTGATGCTGGAGGATGACTAATGTACAGTGAGAACACATGGCTCAGGGGAGTTAATTAATGTAAACTCACTGTTTTGGGGATTTTAAAATTAAATATTTGTGGTTGTAGCACACCCACTCTTCCTGGAAAAGTCTATCAAGTATTTTTATTCGCGGTAATAATAGGACGTGAATCAGGAGGAATCGGATGGTGAATTTCTAATATTATCATTTAGTCGCAGCGATTGTTGTTTGATAGTTAATATTGGTGGCAATCGGATCGGACGAGGAAACGGAAAAACGAGGAATGAGGAAAAATTACCTCAATTTGAAATTCTCTATCGGTTGATTAACTCGATAATTCCCCGCGATCTTCAGCCTTCCTGGATTTCTCACCAGCATAATTGTTGCTATTTACTGTTGTACAACACTAGAGAAGTCAAAATGACAGATCGGTTGTGTTTATATGAAACGTTGCTTAGCAACACGTTTCTGTCAAGCGCATGTCATCAGAGCGAGAAAGAAATATCTTTGGAAAATTACAATCTTTGAATAATAATTCGATACTATGAATTTTTTTAATTCTGTATTGGATTTTAAAGACGATCATCTTAAAGTCATTAATTAAGCTCGGAAAGTTAATTATTACGTCTGAATAATTGCACAATCTTGAAATAAAATCTGAGAAATGGAGATTTCCAATATTTTTATTGTTCGAAACATGTTCTTATTTTTTTTACTTCAAATAATTTTTCAAGGTAATAAATAAATTCAAAATAATAAATATATTTTTAGATACTAGCAAAAAGAACGAAGTTAATATCAAGTCGCTGAGAGGTTGAGCGTTAATAGAATTTCACACTAAAAAACGATTTAATTCCCCCCATAAATTATAATGATAAAAATTAAATTCATCTCCGATCACTCAATCACTTGTAAATTCCATCCACACAAAAAAGCCCTACCCTCTTTGGATCGCTTCCGCAATCGGAATTCCTCAACTAATTTCTCCTCATGAATATAATGAAAGTTACGTTCGCGAAATGCCCAAAAAATCCAAAACCATCTCGTATAATTCCTGAGTTGTTCTCATTTTTTTAAAGGATTAATTGGCTTTGGCTAACGATCACATGGGGGCAAAAAATTTAAATGACTCCATAAAATTTTTAAATTTTAGTGAATACCAATTTCATAACGCAGAAAATAGTGTAGCGCCCTCCCTCTCTTGGGGTGCAGTACTACGATGCCTCTGGGGTCACTCAAACCCCCAGAACTAAGCCGCTACTTTAGTCAATCCTCTTTGCATCTGAACGTGAGAAATGAATTGAACAAGGACGCACAAGAGTAAAGGTAAATTGCACCGAGTCTGTTGGAAGCAACGGGGAAGTGTACAATTTTTCCTTTACCATCGCTGTCGACTAATTTATAATGACACACGTCCCGATCATCAAGTGATCTCACCCTGCATTTATTTCCTGGAATTTCACGAGTTCACACAGGTATTCCCAGGGTTTTGTTATCATCCATAACAATGAATCGTTATGCACGTCTAACCTTAACCTGAACCTTGGTGCACATGATAACGGTACACAGTTGCATTCTCTCGTTTTTCGCGGTAGTTAAGCTCATTGCGGCAAGAGGATATTATTTCTTCGCTTATCTATTGTTATCTGAGTTAGTGATGACGGAATAAAAAAGAAGGATTGAGGTTTTGTTGATGAGTAACGGGGATTCCAGTCGCGCCTCACCTGTTGGACTGTTTTGACACCTGTCGCACGTCCGCTGCCTCGAATGCGCTATTTCGCGGTTTTTTCAGGATAAATAATTCATTCACCAATTTCTCGGGATTCTGTGATCGTTTGTTGAGAATATTTTTGGATTAATAAGGTCACAGCTACGGGTTAATACCCTGCGAACGTTCCCAGAGGTATTTTTTTCCTGGCGGTGCAAGCCAAGCGGGAGTTGACAGATTTCATCCGTTGTGGGGACTTTTGACAATTTTTTTTTCTTTTTTGTGGATTTTAGGGGCTTCAAACTCATCAGGATGGCCAGTGGACAGGACAGGGAGGGACATGTCACCATCCCCCTTCAGTACAATGATTCAGTGAGTGTTTGTGAATTTTTGAATATTGATTCTTGGTTGTTGGGCTATTTTTATTGATTGTTATCTTGTTTTTTACAGCACTGGAAGGGGATCTTCGAGAAGTACGATCTCGATGGTGACGGCAAGATCTCGTATAATGAGCTGAAGGCTATGGTCAGAGGCTCCAGTTATACTGACGATCTACCACCTAGGGTGGTGAGACTCATAATGCACAAAGCTGATCTGGATGAATCAGGATATCTGGAGTATCCAGAATTTATAGCTATGGTGAGATAAGCCAAGGTTTCATAGTTATAATAATATATTACTTTAATAATCAATAGTGAGGGAATTTTTTTGTCGATTTACTTATTTTAGATATCCGTGAAATGAGAAATTACCCTGTAGATTTAGGTACTGATTATGATTGTCACAAACCCCGCTCCAATTTTTCTCCTGATATTTGCAAGACAAGCAGAAATCTCCTGAATAATTGAAACCCATACAGTAGTCATTGCATTGTTACTGAAATGCTGATTCAAATTACAGATCCATAGAAAAGACATGCAGGGTGTATTTGGGCACTACATAAGTCGGTATGTCCACAAAATGGTGCCAGGCAGACCCATTCTCTCAACTCAATTGAGTGCAAGACTGTCAGCGGACCTTCCCGATGGACAATACGAGGAGGAATACAGTTGTAGGCCACCTCCAGTAGCTATGATCATCATATCAATTATCGAAATAATTTTGTATGTTTACGACATCGTAACAGCACCGAAGGGTGCATCACTCATTGAAAGATCAGCTGCCGGATTATTTATTTACAATCCACATCAGAGATACGAGGCATGGAGATATCTGACTTACATGTTTGTACATGTTGGGTAAGAGTATTACTTTATTTTATTATTTTAGAGTTCGAAAGTAGAGCAACCAATTCAATATCAAAAGGAGAAAAAGTGAGGGCAATAACACTTATTTTTTTTTACAGAGTATTCCATTTAGTGGTGAACTTGTTAGTCCAAATAATGCTGGGAATACCTTTGGAGATGGTGCACAAATGGTGGCGGGTGCTAATTATTTATCTCGCTGGAGTAGTAGCGGGTTCCCTGGGGACATCAGTATCAGATCCGAACGTCTACCTCGCGGGTGCATCTGGCGGTGTTTACGCGCTCATAACAGCCCACGTTGCAACGATCGTAATGAATTGGCATCAAATGGAGTTTGCTGTCCTTCAATTATGCGTATTCGTCGTTATAACGACTGTTGACGTCGGCCAGGCTGTTTATAATCGTTACGTACTCGGTACACAGGATCAAATAGGGTATGTGGCACATTTGACAGGTGCTGTTGCTGGATTATTAGTTGGAATTAATGTTCTCCGTAATCTCGAAGTACAAACGTGGGAAAAGGCTGTTTGGTGGGCTAGTATATTTACGTACACTGCTCTCATGACTGCTGCCATTCTCTGGAATATCTTCGGAATGGAATAGTTTCTCTCCTTAAAAGAGTGTGTGATGAAAGAGTAAGAGCTTATCAAGGAACTGAGTGAAAATGCCATTCAATTTAGTAAACAATAATTTTTTAATATCTATATTGTATTTATATGAAACGATAGTAATCCTATTTCGCCCAGTATTTCATTGTTGGCAGCTACGAACAAATTCTCGATTCAATGAACCGAGTGCTATATAGGTATTTTATATTTCAGTCTAGTTTAGTACGAAAATTTTGACATGAAGTCATACCACGAGTTCACTCAAACGAATTATTATGTTTAAAACAAAGGACTGTGAGCATCAGGTAGACTAGAGTGTCAATTATTTTTTCGATAAATATACTTTTGTACGCAACATGTGAAAGAGCATATGCATTTATTCTCAGACTACAATTTAGTGCGCTGTATTTACGGCTTGAATAGACATCGAGAGTGGTGTTTTCACCGTGAAAGAGTACAATTATTGTTATTGTATTAATTTGATAGAAATTATGCACAGAGAGTTGGGCTTTTTTGGTAGTATCGTCCAGTTTTTTATTCATTTGTATTACAAGTCCATAATGAAATTCTACTGCCATCCTATTGCCCGATGTCCTCTGTCCATTCATTTTGTATTAGTAATGCTCTCATTAGGTAAGTTATGTATTTATTTTATCACGGAAATATATTGTTTTTTATGATACAAAGTTGAATTAAAAACGTTTGCATCGAATTTATTGTTTTTCTTATATATTTCATTGCAATATCATTATCTTATATTCAAGCCCAGCGATTAGACTTGTTCATCCGTATGTGGTGATGGGCTAGGCACGTTCTGGCCGTTTATTGACATGGGGAACAATAATTCGTCTCCTATCTACTGTTATCTGTAAATGTTACAGTGATTTCGACTGAGAAGGCCCTTGTTTCCAGTTAAGTAGAACTGATGTGAATATAATTTAACGCGGCATTAACTCTTATGATAAAAATTCCAGTCGGACTTCACCTGTTGAACAGTTTTGACACATGTCAAATAACGGCTGCTCCAAATTCATTATTTCTGTCTCAATTTCTCTCTTCAGATTTTTTGTTAATAAATGAAATGATATCGGCAGGATAATATCTTGCAATTATTGGTAGAAATATTTTTCCAAGTCTGATTCTTCTTGGATTTCAATTCAATTGAAACTCATCGGGATGGCGAGTCAACGGAACAGACAGGAGTCCGTGAACATCTCCGTGCAGTTCGATGATCATTTGGTAGGTATTCATGAACTTTCATGAACTTTAATTTTCGGTGGGCTCAAAATTTAATTGTATATTATTTTTCGGGGAGAATCGGTAGTAAATGGGGATAAATTTCTTAAACTTTTCGAACAGTCCAATCCTCCAGGGGCCATGGCGCGTAGTATAAGTGACTTTTCCGTGACTTAAGGAGGAAACTCGCAGAAAACCAAATGAATAGTTGATGAATCTTATCCCTCATAGCACTGGAAAGGGATTTTTGACAAGTACGATCTCGATGGAGACGGGAAAATCTCGTATAACGAGCTGAAGGAAATGCTCAAAGAGTCCAGCTACGAAAACGACATCCCACCTTCAGTGGTGAAAATGATACTGCAGAAGGCTGACCCGGATCGCTCAGGATATTTGGTGTATCCAGAATTTTTAGCTATGGTGAGATAACCGGTTTCAAAATTTCAGTTTTCAGTAGTAGGCAAGTTTTTTCCAGTGCGAACCTATTTTCGAAAAAAAATTACTTGCAATTCGTTAAAGCGAGTTTGTGATAATCTGTAAATACCGAAAAATCCGTGAGAAAAGTGACATTAACTACAGATCCAGAGGAAGGATATGCAGGGGTTTTTCGGTCGTCTCATAAGTGGTTACGTTTATACACTGGTGCCCGAGAGACCAATACCCTCTGATCCTTACAGTCCAAGAACTTCGGTGGCTGCCTCTGAGGGTCGGTATGAAAAAGAGTACAATTGTAGACCACCTGCAATAGGTATGCTCATCATATCGATTATGGAAATTGTCCTGTTTCTTTACGACATCGTATTGGCGCCGACGAAGAAACCATCATCGTTTCAGGGACCGGCAGCTCAGCTTTTAATTTACAATCCTCAAAGAAGATACGAGGCATGGAGATATGTGACTTATATGTTTGTTCATGCTGGGTAAGTTTATTGTTTCTACCATGATTAAGGAGATAATCTTTATATTGCAAATTTATATTGCATATTTATATTTAAACATTGAATTCATAGCCGGCATGAAATCATAGACTGTCTTCTTCGGCATCTTCGGATCGATTCCGAATTGAGGATTGAATTCTCCCTTTTCATATGTTTCAGAGTAATCCATTTAGTGAGTAATTTGGTTGTTCAAATTTTATGGGGAATACCCTTGGAGATGGTCCACAAGTGGTGGCGTGTGCTGACGGTCTACCTTGCGGGAGTGTTGGCTGGCTCGATTGGGTTCTCGGTTGCAAATCCGAAACTATTCCTTGCAGGTGCATCTGGCGGTGTGTACGCACTCATGACAGCTCACATTGCCACTATTATCATGAACTGGCAACAAATGAAGTTTGCTGTGCTACAGTTGTGTGTATTCGGTTTTATAACGATCCTGGATGTTGGCCTGAATTTTTATAATCGTTATGTCCTAAATAAACAAGATGGGGTAGGGTACGATGCGCATTTAGCAGGCGCGGCTGCTGGATTATTAGTTGGAATTAATGTTCTTCGTAATCTTAAAGTGAAGAAGTGGGAAAAAGTCGTTTGGTGGCTCAGTATATTGACGTATACTGCTCTCATGGTAGCTGGAATACTCTGGAATATTTTTTGCATAAATGTTCCATTTACTTGAGTTATTCTACAATTTATACCGGTTTAGTACAAATTACTGGCTAATTACATTAAGTTTTTCAAAATTATAAATTAAACTGAGAAGAAAATAGGTACAGCAACTCGCGAAAATTTTCTGTACTTCAAAAATTAAAATTATTTGGAATTTCATCATGATCTGTATTGACTAGGCATTATAAAAATTGCGCTGCCATTATATTCTTAACTTGCGTGTGCCAATTACAAAAAAGGTATATATTTCATATTATAATGTTAAGATAAAATAATCGTCATAAAATGGAAAATCCTCGATTTCTTTTATTTATTTATTAAAAATAGTCGTCGTATGAATTCGTCGTAGGAATGTTGAATATTGACAATAGAATTAAAAAATTCATGAGCAGTAAACAATTGCACTGATAAATATCGTTTGTAAAAAGAAGTACTTTCAGCATTTAAGTACAAATCATCAATGTAAAGGCGGATTTATTCACAATTCATAAAGTTTCATCATCGCATCCATTTACACTGGAACTCATTCCCCACCAGTTAGGTATAAAACTCTAGTATATACACGAATATAAAATACAATTTCTCCCACGTGATCTCTAACAATTCATAATACGAACGAGTAAGAACAATAAAATTATAAAATCCATTCGAATTGCTCAAAATTTTTGGGAATTATTCAAATAAGACTCTGATTCACCGGTGGATACATTCACCATTCCCATCCATTGCAAATATATAACCGATTTTCGTGTGAAAAATAGGTTTTATGGAATATCTTGAAATTCTAGGAAAATAAAAAATTTCTTGAAGACCATTTTTTTGTGTACTTTGTAGAACTAAATTGTAATTAACTTAAAAGATATTATTTCAGCCTTTGATAACTGAATTTCATTTCAAGATGAAGATCGTCGAAATATTTAGGCATTAAAAAAAGATATCGAACATTTCATGATAAGCATTTTCATCTCAACCAAATTCAAAGATAATCACTAGCAGAGATCGGCACTGATATTACTTCCAGGAATATTTATCACGTTCATTCTCGATTGTTTGATTAATGATTAATCACACGCTTCCGCTATTTCATCATCGTGATTCACCAATAGATAATGACCATTCTAAATTCTTTCATGATTCATTGATCAAATAATATAAATGTTGCAATCTATTACTATTCTTTGAAATAATAATTAAGTCCTCCTCGCTTATGATTACTGAATACTTATAACTGAATTATCAAATCAGTAGAATTTATCATTATCTAATTACTGAGCACGAAAAAAATAATTTTTTTCATTACTCAGTATGGAAATAATAAAAATGAAATCTGAATTATTGGGAACGATTGAAGTAATGAATTCTTATGAAAATAATATTAATATTTTGCCAATCCCCTGCTTTGCAAACCCCATCATTTCTCACCACTGAAAGATATGCAGGAAAGGGACGGAAAGGACTGATAAATACATCTCCCTCACTCCCTTAATTCTGAATAATTGGAACTTTTTCTAGCCACTCGGTATCAGGTCGGACGAATTCCAAATCGCTGCCCTCCCCCTCAGACTCATCATCCTCATCAAAATACGGCCTAGTATTATTCAATTCTTCACCCACGACAATGCTTCTGTTCAAAGGTCTCTTAAACACCTCAACTTCCTTCTCATCATCATCGAAAAAGCTGTTTCCATCCTTCAACAGACTAAAAGCATAAGCCCTCCTGCTGTTCTTCTCCTCAGGACTAATGCCCTTGCACCTCATGAAGCAGCAGATCCCCAATAATATGATCCCCACGGAGACGACCCCAGACATGATCACGAACACTAGTCTAGGCATTCCAAAAATATTCTCATCTCTCTTAAGCTTGAACACGAGATTCGAGAATCTCTTGATGTCTGGAGTTATGAGGATTTTGGTATCCGAGATATAGCCATCAGCTTCAGCTTTAATAACGTGATTGCCAGCTGGCAGTAAAACCCAGAAGGCTCCAGTCTGGATATTCCTCACTCTGTGGACAGAATCGTCGTACGACAGGAGAGCCCCAATGGGCTCGCTTCCTTCGTTCAGGACATATCCAGTCACTCCTTTGTCGACAGCTCCCATAATCGCCAGGAGACTATTCTTATTGGCCTCCCACACGTCCATGACATGATCGGTATTGCAACAAGTGACATAAACATCGAGCATGAGAGTACTCGTGTTCAAGTAAGCATAATCAATCAGGGAATCACTTCTGCCTCCTGGGAGAGCTTCACCGCTGTGAGTAACTCCATATTTCCCGATATTAACATCATCCTGGCACTTCTGATTGGGCAGAATCATGGAGGGATGGTTCTCGGTGTACGTCGATGCCAGATAACTGAAGATCTCATCGTCATTCGTGCTAAAATGCCCAGGATTATTTGAATTAAATCCATAAGGAATCTCAACGTGCCTCGATCCGCTATTCAAGTTTATCGCAACTACTGCCTTCGTCTTCTGGAACCAGTCCGCTATCATTTTGGCATCTGGAGTCATTGGACTGTCGATAGGGAATTTGAGGCTCGATGAAGAAGCGGAACATGTTAGGGCTCCGTCATTATCGGGGAATAAATCGGGTGCCACGAGGATATTGAAGTTTTCTAGAAAATCGGTCACACTTTTGTCTTTCTGATAATTCCTGACGAGATAATCAGCAAAGTAGATGAGTAGTTGTGAAGTCGTTGGAGCCCCTCGTCCAACCCCTGCTGAGTAGACAATAGTTGGACGACTGATGACTTGACGCTTGGAATTCCTGGCTGCTAGTTGTATCGCGAGTACTCTAGTGCCTTTTGTGGTTGTCCCAACAGTTTTCAATTCAGTTATCTTCGGGTATTTTTTATTCAATTCGTCCAGGGAACGATTCGACTCATTCTCCTCGTGAAAATTGTCAAGAGATCCCTTCGAAATTGGTTCGATAGAGCCGGTGGCATTCAATCTCTCCAGGTGTACCTTGATATCCGTTATCTCATGGCTCTTTATCTCGACATTGACAGTTTTCGTGATGTAATTATCACACGAGAATACTAGGGAATATTTTCCCGGAATTAAAACCCTGATGAAGTACGCCATGTTTTTAGTAACTGAATATGTCTCAGTGCCAATGTGAACCTTAGTATTTCGAAGTGGTTCTCCTTTGTCATTTTGAATCTCAGCTCGAATTCCAGTGGTCAACCCGAAGAGCAATTCCTTCAAGGGTGCCAGATTATCTCTCCAGATTACTGGAAGTGATTCAGGGGCAGCATATTTGCAGCAGGATAACGATAGAGCCAAGACTGGAATTTTATAATTTTTCATGATATAGTCTCCAACAGCACTTGAGTTATTATCGGCATCGCAGCTCTTCTTATGCATGGCTGCATCGTAATTCTCAGCCAGGGTCTTGTAGACATTGAGATAATCCTCAGTGTAACTAACCCCAATGCTCCCCCCAATGACAGTGATAACAGCATCATATTCTTCTGAGGCCAGCATTCGCCTGAAAGCACTGGTGACAGGATCCTTATCCTCCCCAGCTAGCAACAGCCCTGCAGTTTCATTGGCGACCTGTGGATTGCAGTTATCCGTGACTTGATCGAATTTCTTATCGAGCCCTGGAATAATGTGGAAGACGGCGTTATCAAGTAGTTTAACTATGGGAGGATCTCCAATGAGATCTCCCTTCACCAGGTGATTTGCCAAGCGGAGGAATATCTCCCTTCCAACAGGCTGCGATGCGAAGAGACCGCCCACCAGAGCTACATGGATTTTACGCTCCTCTGGAGCCCCCAGGTTCCTCGTTATCTTCAACGAATGCACTGCCATACTGTTCAACGACTCCCCAGCCTCGAACTCAACGATGCTATCAGCCCTCTGCGATTCCAGAGTACCCATTGCAGTATTCAAGTCGCCATTGCTCAAGTAGCCTTTCTTCAAGTTTTTAAGTATCGCGAAATCATAAGCTGAAGACCAGTGCTGGTCGTCATCCTTCATCAGGGTGAAGTCGACGATGACCTCTCCCTGTCTGGACTCTCTCTCAGATCTAATGACCACCTCCTGCGTATAGGATTCATACCCATAAGCACTGGCGGTGATATTATAACTTCCTGGAGTGAGCAACCTCCAGTAATCGCCGTCCTTAGCAGTGTATATCACATGATTGATACCCTCTATCGTAATCTTCGCCTTAGAGATAGGTCCACCGATGGAAGAGCGAACGACTCCATGGACACCCTTTCGAGCCATCTCTACGTACGTCATCAGGGCTTCTCGGTTCTCCAGCCAGTACCGAGGAAGTTCCTCAGCGCGAGGGAACTTGGTGCAACCCAGTTCCAGAGTAAGTTCGAAGGCATTACCGTGAACGTAATTGTAATCCTGCATTCCACCTGTCACGGGGTACCACGCAGCTCCATTGGTGATGCCGTCTGGAAAAGGTTTATCAAGGACACTAGGAAATCCTGAGGGTGAGGGACAGGGTTTTCCGAGGTGCATCCTGGGATGTGCCATGGAATATGACAGAGCAAGAGCCCGGAAGACTGCATCATCCGGGGACATACTTTCTCGAGGCTCCTCCTGCGCTGGACCATCGTCCCAGGGGTAATTAGCTACCAGTGCCCCTCCATGGAGATTAGCCGAGAGGACGAAGGGAAGTTCAGACATCCATTTAATTATGGCTTTAGTCTCTGGCTCCTGGTGTATATTCAGCTGAAAACAAATTAGTGTTGATTGAATGGTTATTAGATCGTTATGCAGAGGAGTAGAATTTGGGTCATGGTCAAGGGTGATGAGTTAATGTCGTTGATGTTTACCTCATCTGTGCCGTATTGATCTGGAAAATTGCGATTCAAGTCCACGTGATGCGCATTGGTTCTGCCAACAACACTGTCAACGCTCCCCACGTTTGATATTTCATAACCATCTGGATTCATGCTCGGCATCACGTGCAGTCTAATTGTTTTGACGATACGAGTTGCCCTTGGATCAGTGCCATAATTTTCACAGAGGTACTTGGCGAGAAGGAGGAGAACTTCGCGGCCAACCACCTCGTTGCCATGCATATTCCCCACGTACTTGACCTCTGGCTTGTTTACATCGTGTTGTCCAGGATTCATCGTTATCTCAAGGACATACAGCTCTCGATTCTCGACGGAACGACCAACACTGTACAGACGTGTTATCTGGGGATAATTACCATGGAGATGGTTCAGGAATTTCACCATCTCAGTGTAATTGTGGTGTACGAACTTTACATCTTCGTAAAATCCGTATTTATCGCGGGGTCTCGTGTACTCCTCCACATTCTGGGACATTTGGGCTGTGATAAAAGGGAGAAAATAAATAAATAGCAGTGAATTTGGGAAATAACGCAACACAAGGTACGGGTTTAGGCGAAATCATAATAGAAACGTGGAAAAGTGTAATTATTTGTTAAATAAAGAGAGGAAGAGGAAGTGGCTCAAGTGAGACAAGTTGCATATTCAATCGCAGCAAATATAATACTTTATTCCTTTTGTTTTGTTGACACCGCTTTATACATTGTACACATTTGTCGTTTAATTGATTATCCAATTTTATTTAACTCCACGAAGGACATGAAATTACGAGTGGTAAAATGCATATAGCTAGTGGTTTACATTCACTTTTCTTTCACATTGTTTATTCGTATTGTTAAATTTTTTGAAAAATATATGCTGTTTTATTGGAAAATAAAGGAATTTTAAGCGTCAAGTGTTGGCACCCATCGCACTCAGCATTTTAGTTGGGATAAAATAATTTTAGATTGATAAGGAGGCACCGGAAAAATAAAACATCTCACTGGGAACTTTGTCATGGATTCGATTTAATTATCCTTATCGCAAATTCCTGATCCAGTACTAATTATGTTTTCAGTATTATGTAGAATTACACGTGTGGCATGTACGACGATTTTCTTCATTCTTAAAAATAGCACAAAAATATGAGATTTCTTTCTTGAACAAAAGAGCTATTAATCATTTTACCGATATAATATAATTCTCTTACTAATGAGATATGTTTATGATCGTTATTAGTGTCATTATTAGTCTAGAGTTACGTGGATCGCGGTGCATATGTTGCATGTGGCTTGAACCGCGTTGATTGTAATTGAATTAGACGTATACAATAGACATTTCAATTTCATCTTCAAATTTTCGCTCATCTGCTCATGAATTTGCTCTTAATTCTTCAACACTCAAGTTCTATTAACATAATTTAAACATTCATTAATTTCCTTTTTTATTCCATACCTTGTGTACGCGCTTTTCCACAAAATAGGGGGTCAATTTTGGCGGTAAGTCGGTCATACGTTAAAACTCTAAATTGGAATTATTGTGGAATTAACAGGGAAATAATAATAATATCGACAAGTTAGTTTGTCATGACAAACATATTTTTTTTAAATTGCAACATTCGTCGAGAGAATGTTGGATTAATACAATAACGAGGTGCACTGAACCGATTAGGGATTGTGAGCTGTAAACAAAAAAATTGAAAATTGTAAATAAAAAGAATAAGTGAGTTTTCGTCAGTCAGTGAAAAAGACTTGTGATCTTGTTTGTTAGTAGAAGTTGTGCAAATTAGGAATAGTGTCGAGGTATTTTATGAGAGGCTAGTAGTCATAGTCACGAATTCTTAGGGAAGCAATCATTCTCTCGAGTGGCGACAGTTTCGAGATTATTGGTATCACTGGTGGATAATCCAGCCCGGTTTTACCTTCTTGCTCCTCGGAAGACAAAGCCATCAGGGAGAAGTTTACTATTATTGGTGTGCCATCCTCTACAGTTATGTTTATCGGTTCACTTCGTTTGTATCTGCAATGACACAAAAACGAAATAATTAAAATTATTCAGAAGTAGATATCCCCGAGTTTCCGGACGAGATTAGCAATTTTAATTACCCCCATGCACTGGCGTAAACCACGTAATTTCCTGGGAGAAGTAGTCGCCAGTATTCTCCACGATTTGTTGTTGTTACATTGCGATTTATCCCGTATACCCCAACCTGGGCGCCTTCTATTGGTTCTCCTTCAGTGTCCATAACCACTCCTACGTCAGATAAAATTCATGGGATAAAGGGGTAGGATACATTGGAATTTAATTTCTTGGGGTTTAAGAGTAGTGAAGAATTCGATATGTTTGATTGTACCTTTGAATCCGATGTTAGCCTGTTCTAGATACTTAATCAGGGACTCTTTATTCAATCTCCAATGTTCGGGCATGAGGTTCGCTGGTGGATATTTGCAGCAACTGACCTCAAATGTTATCTCGAGGGCATTTGATCGAGCATAATTGTAGTCTTGCATGCCACCCACAACTTCATACCTGGTGATTGTCAGAGTAATTTGTATTAAGGATCAAGCATCATAAAATAATTCAATTTGGAAAGGACTGTCGAGAAATTTTCTCGCATCTGTTATTGGATAGTTTCGTAAAAATAATCCTAAAATTATTATCGTTGCAATAACTTCCTATTTAAGATTGTGAAATTCGTTGTTGCTAGAGGGAAATTGGAGGAACGAATTAATAGATTAAGGACTTTACCAGTAGGCTCCGTTCGTTACACCTCCAGGGAATCGATCAGGAGGGCAAGATTCCCCGTTGTGCATGACTGGATGATGATCGGCGTAAATATGAGCTAGATATTTGAAGAGATTGTCATCTGGAGATTTACTCTCAATGCAGCAGGACTGGAAAATACTGAATTTAACAATAAAAAATGCAAAATTAATCATATATCTTCGGGACAATGTGAATTAATTTTGTTTGAACAGAATAATAAATTTACCCAGAATCATAAGGATAACTCGCGACGACAGCTCCTCCGTGAAAATTTCCAGAGAGTACGAATGGCATCGTGTTGATCCATGTCATCATGGCAATGGTCTCATTCTGTCTGCCAGCGACGATATTACCACCTCGGATATACTCACTGGCAGATCTATCGAATTGATCCGGAAAGTCTCGATTCAGGTCCACATGATTGGCATTCTCCCGTCCTGAGTAATCGCTCTTCGACTCGCAGAGTCCTTCCTGCAGAAAAATCATATGAAATGCCAAAATGAAAATTCAAACACCATTTCAAAAATAAAAATTAAATCCATTCAGTACATAGAAATAGCATTTTTTTGTTTAGTAGTCATAAAAGTGTCCCGATAACAAGTATACAACGTTGCAAATGTCGATAAATGAAAGAATATTGAGAGTGTTGAAGAGAGACATAAAATTCTGCTTTACATTTACGTTGTAGCCAAATATTAGAGCGGCTGTGAAAACAATAAGAATCCTATAGCCTTTACTGAATTTCAAAATATCTATGACAACTTTCAATATTCAAGTGGGAGAGTCTGCGGCAGAGAGTGCAATAGAAAAGTGATAGTATTGAATGAGTCCATGGCAATCTTGAACATTCAATTTTCTTGGGTATCTCTAAGCCTAAAGGAAATGGTGAAATTCTTTTGCGGGGCTTCTCCATGTAAAAGATCTTCTCTCTAAAAAAAATTTAATGCAAATCCAAAGAAACACACAATATTGAATCAATTGCAATATGTTCCACATATTCCTCGAGATCATGATGAAAGTCAGCTGGCCCCACGTCTTCTGACAAATTAATCTCTTGACATAAATACCGAATGTAATTATCTCCCCCAATTAACAATTCCGATTGACATGCAGAGGAAGAATTAACACCCTCATACCTGTGAATTTTCAAAGCCATCTGGGTTCAACGAGGGCATCAGAAAGATGTCAGTTGTATTAACGAGTTTGCCGATTCGTTCGTCATTATGATAATGAGCTAGAAGATACTGAGCCAAGTATATCATGAGTTGTCTCCCAACAGACTCATCTCCATGCATATTAGCGACATATTTGACCATGGGTTTTCCCAGTTCCCTGGGTTCCCTGACATTTTTGGTTATCTCCAGAACAAGAAGATCCCGTTGATTCACAGATTTTCCAATGGAATGAACCTTGGCGAGATTCGGATAGTCCTGCTCCAATTTATTGAAAAGTTTCTTGAGGTCTTCATAATGTGTGTAATTAGGAGTAATAAAATCGTCGTCAATTTCCGCTGTGGAACGCAGACTGTATCCACTGGTGATTTTGAAAATTGCACACACAACGAGAATATAACTCAATACAGCCATCCTCGCTGGAGATCACAACCAAAATGAATGACTTTGAATTCAGCAAAGCCCAAAAAAATTCACGTACTCGATAAACACTACAGGGGCATCCCACGAAATAATCCTCTGGAGGCCCTCACACGTATGTCAACTGTCCACAACCAACAGAGGACATCATCACAGATTCACAGAACAAGACACAACACTAACAACAGTGATGACGTCTACAAGGATTTCAATATGGTAGGGGAAAAGCCCAACCAAACCTCAACATATTACCTGTCCTGTGTTATTTCCTCTAGCTCTCTCTCTCGTTTTCTCACTGGTTTCCTCTCAACTCAATCGGAGCCTTCACCCACGCGATAAACACTCACCCCTATGCCCTTTTTTTCATCTGAGTTTCCTCATACTCTTGTCCCTCCCTCTTCTTTTACAAGTAAAACGCCCACCCATGACCTCGCTGTGACGTGATATTGATTTGAGCTTCCATTCATCACTGATAACCGTGAGGGAAATTACAGGCTTTTGCTTGTGGTCTACCTCATTCACTGATAAATCACTTTCATCGGTTTTTTGTGCCAACCGGGTAATAATAGCTTCTATTTGGATGTCAGATGGGGTTCGAGTGTGTTATATGATTTTTTATATAGAATAATAATGAATAGAATTCAGGATTTTTTTTAGACCAAATGAATTAAAGGATGCTCTTGGGGTTTTTCCACCTAAAAAAATGACCTTGAGCCCACCTCTCACGGGGCAACATATTGAATTATTCATGAAATATTGATCTTAGATAAATTTACATAGACGTTATCTTCATTCTTATCCATTGGCTTTCCATGAAAAGAATGATAGACAGTTTTTTTTACAAAGTGGAAACACATCTTTTCAAGTCTTTCGAGGCACTAGAGGTACATATTGACATAATTTAAAGGAGAGTGTGGATACGTTTAGCTGTTTCTTATCTCAACGATGGATTGAGCCGGTGATAATCGGTAAAAGTCAGCCTGATGGTATTATCATTATTACAAATTAATATCGTACAACTTTTTCGGATTAAAACAATTCAATCATATAAACTAGCCATAATTTCTATTATATTATTCCCTAGTTAAAAATGTCACTAATAAATGAAACGTGTCTATTTCACTCATTCATTACGAATCATGTTTTTATGCGCCAGATAATCTCAGAGCTTTCCGGGCAAGGTATCTTTGGAGAGCTGCTTCAAAGACGGGGCCTACCGTGCGTTTCTCCCAGATGGAAGGTTTCTCCTCTGGCTTTTCCTTCTCAGCTTCATCCTTCGAATTTTTCTCTTTGTCTGATCTCCCAGATTTCAACTCCGGTGCCTTGAACGTTTCATTAACTTCAACACTCGTGACCGATCCATTCTTTTCTTCTTTTTCTTCTTTAGTTGACAATCGAGGTTTCTTGATGGGTGACTGACACTCTTCATTTTTTTCAATTTTCTCAGAAATATCAGTAACGATTTGCCTAGCCCCTTCGTCCTCAGATTTCTCACCATGATCTTCCTCAGACTCTGACTCAGACTCTTCCATGACTCTCTTCCTGTACTGCCTCTTGTTTTTTCCCTTAAAGTTCACATTAGATTTTTCCCCTCTCCTGTGTTTACCATCCTCTCGATCATCACTGCCTGATCCTTCGGAAGACGAATCAATCGATAAATCATCGTCTCTATCGATATTTGGAGATTGTAATGGACTAGCTTCTTTCGGTTTCTTCGAATTCCCTTCCTCATGTGATTCATTTGATTTTGGATCAAAAGTCTGGGCGAATAGATGTCGATGGAAGCCTGACATATCAGGCTGCTTTGTAACATCGGCAATCGCCTCCAGCCTGTCCATCCGCTCTTCCTCCTCCTCAATTTTTTTGAATTGTTCTAGCTTCTCTCTGTACGCAGATGTGACAAAGCTCTCCTTATCAGCGAATTTCTCACCTTCAGCCTCTCGCTCTTTCTGCACCATCCTCTCCATCCTGTGCTCCTGCTCTATTTTCCTCCTCTCAGCTGCTTTCAGTAGGTTGTGGATGTACTTGGGTTGCTTCAGCTCTTTCTTAACTGGCTTACTCTGCTCCTTGACCTTCTCTATCTCATCGTATACCTCGTCATACTGGTAAATTGTTGGATCCTCGTTCAGAGCTTTTTCCATGTTGAGACGAGTCTGTTTTTTTATTCTGTGCTTCTCTCCCTCAGCCTTCAGGGCTTTTTTCACCCAATCTGCTCCATCATCTGCATCGGAGTCATTATCATCGCCGAATATGTTGCCAGCTTTTGGAGCTGACAGGACAGCCTTCTTCGGCATTGTCAAACCATATCTGAAGTAGAAACGAAAACATCGGAAAACTCAATGAAATTGAATTAAAAAAATTGCATATCCATAGAATAATGTAAATATAACCTCGAAATTACTTCAATCGTAGAATAAAGTGGAGTACTTACTGCTTTGTATTTTTATTCATTTTTTTCAAGGTATCCTTCAGTTAATGATGCAAAATTTGCAATTATCGATGTTATCTAACAGATTATTCTATTAACTTGACTTTTAATTATTTTTTGTTGATGTCAGCTGACATTTACCTTCAACTTCACTTTGATAAAACAGATTTCAGTTTTATCATGAGAAAGCAACGGCCGATGAGATGGAGTTCCATATTATCCATTTGTTTTTAAAGCTCCAGCCACAATTGCAAAATTTTCCAGTGGATAGTAAAATATAGTGTGGAATGGACTAAAGCTTGTTGAGTTTTGCAAAACCGGCTCTATACATTCCTCTCATCTGCCTATGATACAACAATTAACAATCGCTTGTTCTTAAAAAATAATACAACAATCAAGAACGTGTGGATTCTATTCCTTATTTGTGGAGAATTGTCGAATGCAGATAGTTTTTCGTGTGAATTACATAACCTGATCGAGATTGTAATTTCATATGACGACGGATAAATTGAATATTTAATAAGTAGTGCAAAGTGCAGGGAACGAAATTTCGAGCAGGTTATTAGAATCTTAGAACCTATCAGTGTCATTATCTCGTTTTATCAATTTTGTTGAGCAGTGTTTATAACAAAAAATGTCGAGATTGTTGACAAATTTGTGCCCACAAGTGAGGAAGCTGGTGAGTTCCGAATTAAATATCCAAGGGCATTGATAACCCAATTATTGTCATATTGTCAAAATCATTGATTAATAATTATAATTCATTCATAGGTGGCCCTCTCAATTAAAGAGTCAAAGTCTCTGGTGTCCTTGTCAAATATTCGCAGCTTCTCGATTAGCTCCAGATTATTAGCAGGTTGGCCTCAGATCCAGAAACCTGCACCTGATTTTGCTGGTACTGCTGTTGTCAATGGTGATTTCAAGGATATCAAGCTCTCTGATTACAGAGGAAAATACGTTGTATTATTTTTCTATCCATTAGACTTGTAAGTACTCCTCTACATCCTTTCCATTTTTTTGGTGGTGTTATAACTGTTGAAATTTAAGTTCCCATATTTTTCTATATCTATTCCCACCAAAAAACTAAATGAATTAATTTAGGTCTTAATTAGTAACAATCATGATAAAATTCCAATAATAGTATTTGGTAGGAATAATGCATTTTTATTCCAGCACTTTCGTATGTCCGACTGAATTACTTGCCTTCAGTGAAAAAATGTCAGAATTCAAGGGATTAAATGCTGAGGTGATTGGTGTCTCCACAGACTCCCATTTCAGTCATCTGGCCTGGATAAATACCCCAAGGAAGCAAGGAGGATTGGGTGGTGATCTTGGGTACCCACTGCTTAGTGACTTCAATAAACAAATAGCTGCAAGCTACGGAGTCCTCTTGGACGAACCTGGTGTTGCCCTCCGAGGACTCTTCATCATTGACAAGGAAGGAGTTTTACGTCAACTCAGTGTTAATGATTTACCAGTGGGCAGGAGCGTTGATGAGACTTTGAGGCTCATTAAGGCCTTCCAGTTTGTCGAGAAACATGGAGAGGTGTGTCCAGCCAATTGGCAGCCAGATTCCAAAACGATAAAGCCGAATCCTAAGGGTAGTAAAGAGTACTTCGAATCTGTTAACTAAGTGTGCAGGGGAGAGGGGTCGAGTTGTGGTATTCAATAAAATTTCGAAAATTTAATCTTCGAAAAATTGAGTAGATTTATTGTACAACTAACTAGAATTAATTCCCTTCGCTTATCACTGACATTTGTAAATCTTTTATGGATCTAGGAACTCAATAAAAACTTTATTTGAAAAAAAAATCTGAACACTGAACTGGATTGACACAAAGGCATGAACCATAATTGTCTCAAGTCCTAAAAGGCACGGTGAATAGAATATTACGAATTACTAAAAACACAAAACCACTTGAGAGAACAACAGATTATAAGGTTCTCTCAAACCCGATTAAATAAGGGCTATTGTTGAGAACTCTTGTTTCCAATTTTCTTAACGAAACACCTAAACTCACGAGTCGGCACGCGTGCTGGAGCGTGTGGAATCGTCAATTTGCAGTCGTAACTGTGATCTGTACATGGTAGCAGGAGCGGGCACGTGCCTCGGGGGAAAAAATCCCAACACAACAATTTTTTTTTCTCCCCCGTAATGTGTTGTATTGGTTGAGCCATTTTGCCTGGTATGGTGGAGGTTCAATCAGACGCAAAGGGCACCGAGGGCACGCGGATACTGAATGAAGTGGATGAGGGCCTGCCACAGTGAAGAGAGACACATGATGACGATGAAGAGAGAGCAATCTCGTGCTGGTTGATTTGATTCTTTGTAGCGATGGAGAGCAATAGCTGGGATCAGGGACCAACTGAAAAGACCGCTCTGGATTATCCTTACTGTTCCCTTTATCTCTCGCTTCTCTCAATTTGTGTCCAACCCACTGTATTCTATTTTTTATGCCAGAAGTCATACAAAAAAGATCCTTTATCGGTCGCGAAGAATTAAAGATGTGAATATTGTTATTCATGGCCGACCGCCGCGTATTACACCACTCAAAACTTATGCCAGAAATTTCTAAATAAATCGATTGAAATTTTAACCGTCCTATAGTTCCAATTAAAAATCGAAAAATTAAATCTCCGATACAGGAGAATGGGACCAACGTGCTGGTGCGAATCTACTAAAGAATTACCAAAAATTCAGTTTACGATCGCAGCTAGCGCGTGATCAGAGCAGTTGCATACAGTCCGATTCTCTGAATTTCCCCTACAGCCCCATGCACGCAACAATAACGGAAACCTAGTTTTCGTATTGCCTGAAAATTCAATTTTTTTCCTGACACAGAAGTATTTTATTATATTGTATTTTTAATTGACATGAAATTACTCAGTTGTTAACAAATTGACTGAGATATGATTCGTTAAAAAAAAATAATTACTCTCGGAGATAATTAAAATGTCGTATGATTAATCTCTAATCGGTTTCACAAGGATATTGAATGGCAGCCGCTTGAAAAGTAATTCGGTGCTAAGACTCGAGAGGTTGTATGAATAGAGTGCTACTTGAAATCAATGAGAAGTACACCTCGTTGATACGGAAAATGGTTGGAAAAAAGAAAAGGACAGAGAACAACCCTCACCCCTCCGAGAGAAGTCGGAAAGTTACCTCTTTCGTGGTTCTCTACATAAGGTAGGAAAGAGAGATCACGTTGAAAGAGGCTCACGTCTTCAAAGGTCTCGTGATAAATTTGCGCGAGTGGAGTAGAGTCTGTGGAAGCGAGGAAAGAAGCGGATTTTAGTGGGTGGTGAGAGGGAGATGAGCAGACCCCAAGGGGTTGAACAAGATGGGCCGGAGGACGATGGGGGGGTAAGTAAAAACGAGGGAGCTTATTATTTCGTGGAGAAGGTAAGAGAAAGACTGATGTGAGAGAGGGAGGCTGGGGGACCGCTGATGGTAACGCCCCAAAGGAAGGGATAAAGTAACCGGAGATGAGCGATGGCAGTAAAGAGAGTGGGGTTTTTTTCAAGCGGGTTGAAAGAGAGAGAGAGAGGGAAAACAGGAGCATTGAATATAAGAAGGTGGCGGGAGGGAGGGAAAAACTGAAAAGCGACGCCAGAGATAAACGGCTCATCCTCTCTTATATCCTACCAAATCCAATCCTGTCCCCGAGTATGAAAGTCTCTCAGGACTAATAATATTCTCAAGCCACCCCCCGCCCTCGGCATCATGGTTTTATGATATTTTTGAGCCAAGATTTTCTTGGGTAATAGACTTTCAGTTAATATTTATTCGAGGCGAGCTTTCGGCGTGTATTTTAGTGGGGATGACTTGATTCACAGATAAATTTTTGGGTTTGAATTATTGTTTTGCGTTTTCGGAAATTTATGTCGTGATAATCTTCACTAGGTGAAGTGGTTTGATGAGGTAATTAGTCATTTCGATAAAGAATTATAATTCATGTAATGACGATAATTTTCCAATTGACAACAATGTTATTAGCTGCAGAAACTTATTCTGTGGTGAATTCTTCGACGTCGGATTTTCCTCTTTGGGAAAGTTTTGAGGCTGAAAAAAATGACGGGTGGAATTTCCCAAGTGACATCAAACGGGGATTCTTAGCTCTCCATGAAAGAGTATCAAACTTTTCTCATTTTCCGAATGAGAAATATATTCATGTTATAACCTGGTCCCAGCGAACGGTCGAGCCTGTCTTTCTCTAACATTTCTTCTCCTTACACTTTTTATCCATTTTTTTTTTCAGTTCTTTTTGTTTAAGCATATATACTTTTCCTCGAAGCCGGTGGGAGCCGTCTCAAAATGTACTTTCTGTCCGCACCTCCCATTTGAGAAAAGTAGGGTTTTCGCGGTATATCACGCTGATGTGAAAGCTCGCAACTCCGTGACGCTCCTCTTGGCTTGAAAGACACGAAGTGGAAGCAAGAAAAATAAAAAGTTTTGAAAAAAGACCGGCGCGGGGCGGGGAAATGTATAAGATGTAAGGAAGCAGTGGAAGGGGGAGAGGAGACATTGGGTAGAAAATATTTGATCTTCAGGGGTAACTTGGCCGACATTGCTATCACCTTAACAACCCACCAGCGACCATTTTCTCTTCTTCACTCGGTTTGAAAAAATGCCGACGGTATAATCAAGAATATACGTTTTGGGATGTTATCACGCTGAAAATACTAACTCTGAAATATTTATTCGGGAACTTAATTTACAAACTTAAGTCCAGGGTTTTAATCGAATGAATTATTAAATATAAGAATTAAAAAATGTAGAGGGATTATGGAATTTTCCAAAATGAATATTAAAATTTCTTTAAAATTTCAGCCATTACATTATCTGAATTCGCAATAACATCTGTTTTAATTTAATCTCTATGAATGTTCAACTTTTCATGCTTATCCTCAAAAATGAAACATCCGATTGAAATCTTAAGGAAATTATTGCCCGCACTTCCAAAATTTTCGTCAATGAAAAATCATGAAAAATTTCAATTTTTTTATTCGTAATTTCAAGTGTAATTTTCCAAGAGTGTATCAATTTCCACCCCAACGTTGGGAAGTCACAATTCCAGGTACTCAAAGCCGATTTTTAAGCGGCTGGACAGTTGATGGTATTCGCAAAACGACGGGAGTAGAAACTGACGGAGGGTGGAAGCGGATGTAGCCCTGCAAAAGAATTTTTTTTTCTGAGGGCCAAGATGAGTCGACGAGACACAAGTGAGTTCTCCTCAAACATAAAACGGTGTGAGTGAGAGGAACGAGAGGAGAGAAATGTGATGGGGTAGTGGTCGTGCATCCATCCATATCCATCCCAGGGTGACTATCCACCCTGGCTTTGATTACTTGTTTTAATCTTCCGACTGGCGGGCGAGCATCTGTCACTCGAAATACGTAATTGCACACCCCTCCCCCCACGTACACCGCGTTTTCATGTCTTTCAGGGTTTATATTCGTCTGGGTGACTGCTATTACCTCCTTATTGGTCGCTTTAGCGTATTCGTGTCCCAGCAGATAGCGTTCGCCACGGGAATTACCTTTGGTCGTATTCAGAAAAATAGAGTGGATGAACTGTTCTCGTTGGATCTCTTTTTTTTTTTTCTTTTTCAGATCGTTATCGTCTCACGCATCTCGCTCGCGCAATCGCCAGAGAGGCGAACAGTTGATTGAACAAGGGAAAGAGGGAGTTTTCAACAAACCCAGGGATGGAAGGGGTTTGAAGGAGCGAAGTGGGTGTAATTAACCGAGCCGCTCTTTCCTGGCACTTAGATCGAATGCGGAAACAACTGCGGCAACTACATCGGGTCATGAGATAGATGAGACGAGATTCCCAACACGACACTCTATCCCCCATACATTTACCCTAAGTAGTGGTGGGATAGAGTTGAAATAATTATTTGAGTGAATTGCGTTTTGTTTTAATCAAGTTTTTTTTTTTCTCTTGTTCTGGTAGTTCCATTATTGGATGAAACGGCGGAACGATTTTCGAAGGACATTTCTTGGGTGATAATGGCGGTTTAATGGCGGTGGTAGGTTGGGTTTGCCACTCGTTTATTTTGATTAATTTGGAAGATGAATTACACCGGTTCTCGGAGCTCGCCATTTTACAATCGATTTTTCAGTATTTTGGGAATCTGATCGCTGTATTAATTGCATTTTTATAATGAAGATCATTGTGGCTGGTGAATATCAGCAATTGATTGTTAGTGATTAATATTTTAATAATACCTCCCATTCTTCAACTGATTGTGCAAAATGAATAATGAGACAATGACAAATTTATTTGGATTTTCAGTAAAGTGAAAGTTCAGAAGAATAATTGATGAAAATTGCACAATTTTCCGATATTTTCATCATTATCCCACGGGTTTTACATTGGCGAGCCCATTGTTCAATAATGAGATAAACTGCAATTTATCAATTTACAAGTGGCATAGCGTTCGATTAACATGATACATTAAAAATTTCCCGATTTTATCGTAATGCAGATAAATCTACCAATAAATATTACTGAAAAATAATAAAAACAGCGATTTCGTCACTTGCTCAAAAAAGTGTTAATAAGAATGTAATAGTTGATTAAAAGTGGCGATCCAAAGAAAATCCTCTTACCGGAAACATCCTCATCACCCCATGCTGTCACTTGGTTCGCCTTTGATTGTGTACATAAGTCTTCACTCTCTAA